AGTCAGGAAAGTACGTAGTTTCTTCCTTCAGATAGAAAATGGAAATTCTCAATGAATTTCTTTATACGTATCCATTGTTTTCATGTTCATAATATATCGAAGAATATTCCTTTTCATTAATCTTGAAAAATGTCGAATCTACATCGAAATTTTTGTTCTGATGATACCTGGTATAAGTACCTCTGAATAGTCAGATTCCTTCAATACTAATGTCAATATTTCGAACGACATTGAAAATAATTCGAATTTTCACATTATATGGTGCCACCACTTCCCCCTCCTAATTTTCCTGAGAGGGGTGAGTGACCCTTTCGCGCCCCCGTGTAATCAGCTCCCATGATTATAAATGTTCATGAGTTATTCTTGAAAAAGCTTTTCGATTAATTTGAAAGTGGAAATACATTAGTAATAGATTCTTCATCGAAATCGATAAGTTGAAATACATTACGAATAGTTTCTTCATCGAAATCGATGAGACTTTTTATTTGCGTCAATAGAAAATATTCCCATTGACATAAGTAGTTATGTACATACGTATATGTAAAAACCTCCGGATATATATCACTATAAGCGCACTAGCGGTTAGTTCTTTATCTTTCTCGTCATTCATGGTCATATTATTAGTTGAGGGTACAGCTGAAAACGTAATTCTCGTATTAATAATTTTTATTAGATTTGATATTTGATATAACAAACGGTAAATGGATCCCATGAATGTGATCATTTGAACTGTAATGTACAGGTATATCTTCTGAAAACTATGACATCCCTCAATAAACTTTGATCTGCTTTGAGTATAGGTACAGTTTTGGTTGGAAAATAGGTCGGGTTCAACTTATAATACCAGTATATACAGTGTGTCCACCTTAAGGACTTACCACCCCTGTAAAATTGTTATTATCTGACCGATTTCAAAAAACTTTTTTTTAGGTATGTTGAATAGGTATTTGTAATGTCCATCCAACAAGAGAGTGATTTTACTCATGAACTGTAATCGTGGCCAACTGCGACCAACTTTATTGACCCATATTTGAGAAAGTACTATTAGGGATTTTTTTTCACAAGAAACAATGATGGATTCTGAATCACGATCATTTGAAAAACACCTTCACTGATTTTTATCATCATAAAACACAGGGTGTCCGAAAAAACGAATTATGTTTTTTTGATAGGTGATGTAGTATTGTGGTATTTTTGAGAGGAATTGATGACACATTATCATTGAGGATCACTCTGAACATATATGTACCGATTTTCATCATTCAAAAATACAATGTGTATGAGAACACAATTAAAAAGAAAAAGTAGGCAATATTTTTTCATCAACTCAAAAAAATGTATTAATTTGATTTTTCGAACACCCTGTGTTTAATGATGATGAAAATCGGTACAGGTATGTTCCAAGTGACCCTGATTCATCTTTTTATTTTGAGTGAAGAATTATCAGGATGAAAAATATTGCTTACCTATCCCTTTTAATTTTTTTCTCAGACACATTGTATATTCAAATGACGAAAATTGGTACAGGTATATTTGAAATAATCCTCAATGATAATTTCTGATTATTTCTTTCTAGAAAAACCACAGAACTACATTTGCTGATCACCTATTTGAAGAAAATGATGATTCGTTTTTTCGTACACCCTGTGTTTTATGATGATGCAAATCGGTACAGGTATATTTCTAGTGGTACTATATCAGAATCCATCATCAAGTTTCGTAGAAAAAAATCCCTAATAGTACTTTCTGGAATATGAGTCATTGAAATTTGTCGCAGTTGGCCACGATAACAGTCCAAGAATTAGATCACTCTCTCGTTGGATGGGCATTTCAAATACCTATCCAACAAAAAAAGGTTTTTTGAAATTGGTCGGATAATAACGATCTTACAGGGGTGGAAAGTCCTTAAGGTGGACACACTGTATATATTAATTAGATGTTCAGTATATTCATAACATATACATTCCAGCTACCCTCACTATGGGAATGTGAATGACATCACCATTTTTTCATAATTTTTTATCTGCAAAATATGCTCCATCATTTGATAAGACAATAACTATCGCGGTATCGAATCAAACATCATTTCGGAATAAATGTTCAAAAAAGAAAACTGCTCGAGTAAGATTAGGTAAATGAGCCGTCATAGGCCTCTCCTATCAAGCTCAGGAGGTCCAGAAGATTGCGGACCACCAATAGTTACGGATTGAAACTAACCTATATGTAGGGCAAATTAATGCTGGTATACCGATGACTCTAAAACTTTGGAAGGCGTCGGAAGAATATACGGGATGAACCGTGATGAACCCAGTAGTGAAACGCTCATTCAGTATTGATAAACTAGCTACGATATTCCAGGCAGAGGTATACGCCATTGAAATGTGTGCAAGGGAGCTGGAAAATCGATACCACACACAAAAAACAATAAAGTTATTCTCAGATAGTCAAGCAGCACTAAACCTTAAACCGACTGGCACAACGCAATATACCAGGTCACACAGGCCTAGAAGGGAACGTAATAGCGGACGTCCTAGCAAAAAGACTCGAGTATTGGCGAAGTCTACCGGGCCTATCCCATTCCAAAGCATTCATTGCTTGTATAAGGAATAAACAGGACTCTGACAAACTACTAGAACTTAGATCACATCTCAGAGTTATAGTAGGTTTGCTCACTGGCCACTGCAAACTCAAACACTATATATACATGCAGGGGCGGACTGGGCCTTTGAATCGGCCCGGGCGAATTGAACCCTACCGGCCCATCTCCGGAGAAAATTCCAAAGCTAATATAGCTATTCATATAATTTCATTACATATTTTAGTGACATGGACAACGAAAGAAAAACGTTACAAATAATTTTGATTCTAATCAAACTTAAGTGAGAAAATTTGTCGATAAAACATCAAATATACTGAAGGAAAATGAAATCAATAACATGAATAACATTTTATTAATGAAAAATAAGAATAGATAGAATAAACGATAATTTTATGGTGGAGGAATATAAGGAACCTTATAAATAATATTAAAGCTACAAAAAGACTGGGAAAATTATTCATCCAAAATAAAACATAAGCCGCATTAGATATCGAAATCACAGAACGAGTGAACCTCTCATGGATCCACATTTCTCAACGAAATCGAAAATTATATCGTCGCTTCCAATTGATTGTAAAATCGTTTTTTCGCAGCTCCCAAATGTTCTTGGCTCAGATAATTTCTTAGCCTAATCAAAATAAATTTAGATTTTGAGAAAGATTTTTCACATGAAACCTGCGATACTGAAAGGGTGATAATAATTTTATCTGAATATGGATATACCTCAACGTAAAAATTTTATTTGTGCAAACCATGGAAGGAACATAGTGAAAATGGTTTGCGAAACTTGTGTTTTGATGAAATCAATTCCTCTTCTACATCGAAAACATAAGTTCCTCCACCCATCATATCTTCTGATAAAGTAATCAACAGTCTTCCCACTTCGAGGTAAAATCTATCAAGGCTTATTTCATCAGAAGGATAATAATTTTTGATATTTTCATTAATCATCCTTATTGACTTTTCAGTCAATATTATTTGATCATCTGTGAATCTTGACGTATCAAATAGTTCAAAATCATGAAACAATTCTTTATGTTTCTTGAATCTGAATTCCAGTGCGGTGATAATATTATCAATGATTACATAAGTCTCAATTTTAAATTTCTTGATGGGATTTTGAGGTGCTTCATCATCACCTTTCTCGTCAAAAAACTTTTTTTATTTCGTGTTCTTTGAAAATAAATAGTTAATTTGCTTTATCAATGAATTTATGTGCATCAATCAAAATGACATCATATTCTCGCGATATTTTTTCAAGGAATTCATGGTTTTTCCGACGATTCAGTATGCTTCTAAAATATCCATTGGAACCTGATATTCGTAGTTAGCTCGAAAGAGGAGTGGTGAAATTGAAGATTTCTTTAATCAAAATTGCAGATATGATGGTCTCATACTTCAGAAAGCTGTTGAGATGACATTATATTTCTTTATTCATTCACTGTTTCTAACGGCCCCAAAGGGCCCCAGCCCATCGGGCGATCGCCCGACCGCCCGGCCCGCCAGTCCGCCTCTGTATACATGCACAAAATCGGACTTGCACAAGATGCAGAGTGTCGTCTATGCATGGAGGAAGATGAAACGGCTAAACACATTTTATGTTCATGCCATGCAGCGGTCAGAATCGAATTTTCAACATTTGGCAACCTGATAAATTGTTCTCCCAGAGACTAGGGAGTCCGCGTAGACTCTTAAGCTTGGAGTATCTCCATTACAGAATGGTTCTGGACAGTGCCTGCAAAATCATTAGGGGTTTGGATCCCCACTTGCAAACGGTTGAAATCCAGGAGGAGAGGGGGCAGAACGTCGAGCAGTTGACTCTGATTTTCGACTCCGTGCGCGCAGCTCAGAATACAGATATTGAGCTGGGAGAAAAGCCCGCAGTGGAGCTGCAGAAGTAAGAAAGCTTTGGCTTCAAAATTATTGAAGACCAGTGTTTATCCGAAGAGCTGACTGTCGTCTCTCCGAAGCCAGACGGGCTGAAAATCGAAAACAGAGGGGATTATATCATGGCATGCCAGGATGGGGTCTTTAACACTCTTCTTTCGTGTCGTAGGTATATAGATGTGCTTGAAACAAATTGAAGGCACTCATTGCACCTGCCATCTTGGCCTATGCGTGTCATTGCAAGTGCTTTATTGTCATCATTTGCGGCATTGCGGCATCATTTATTTGAACATCTTATTCCTCACATCCTGATGAATTCCTCCTCGACTATCGAACCAAAACTATGTTTTTGAATAAGTTTTCGGCGTCAGGCAAACCGAACATCATTTCTTGACTCTGCGTGGCGTCGAAGGCCACAAATTGATTTGAATTCAAACAATGATGATAATGACAATATGATAATATTGATATGGTGACATATTGTTACTAATATTTTCTATCAGTTTGTGGTTGAGGTTTATTGTGATAAAAGGTCCACTCATCTCATGCCTATGAGTAGCTGTATAGGTATAATATAACCAGAGTTAGAGATAAATTACTTCCATTCTAGTGAATCGTTCTCTAGTGAAAGTATTGTTCCAAAATCAATTCTGTTGTTGATAAGAAATGTACTTCTAATAAACACTGTCGAAATTCCATAACTCAAATTTCATTCGGTACTATTGGATTAAATCCCTACGGAGAATTTCCGTGAACTTCCATGGAGAACTATACATTTACTGATTTTGAGTTGTTTTGAGCCCAGGTAAGTGTATATTGGAATATAAACTGATCTACATCAATCTATACATCTTTTATTTGATTTCGAATATATAATATATACAAGGTGGTTCACCTGCGCAGAACTATTTCAGTGGGTTGTCAACACAAAATAAGTACTGAAATGATACGAATTTGTAGAAAAAATATGAAACAAAAGAAATAACAATGATTCAAATGTTTAGCAATGCAATAACTTTATATAATAATATATTATTATGCCTTATAGCATATTCCACGGTCGTTGTTTCTATATATATTCTATATATCGAACAAATCGGTATGATTTCGCCTCAAAAATATACTTATCTATGATAACTACTTTATAATATTTGATTCCTATCGGTCTGACAAACCAATAAACATCATTTACTATCGTAATTATTTCCAATCTTGATGGAGATCGACAAGCAGTCTGATCAGAAAGACCTTTTTATCCCTCAACTTTTTCTTATAATAATGTTCAATCAGAAAAAATATTCATCTCATAGTAACAATATTTACTATCTATAATGAACATCCGCCATATATATTTTATAAATCCCAAGTATCACCAGCTATAGGGCTAAGGCATTAAATAAACAAGGTGTTCGGTAAAACATGGATCATACTCTAGCCACAGCTCTAGCTGGTGATAAAGATGTTTAAACCACAACTCAGTATTTTTGAAAATTGGAACCTTTATGAAAAAAATTTCCTATATATTTTGATGATTTTAATGTCAAATACATCTATGTAGTAACAATCGCGAAAGGCAGATTTTAGAGACAGCTCGGTTCTTTCGTTAATAATTATATATATAGTATAATTTCGGAACGGTACCTATATACATATGGTATATTGATTGTTATCGCATCGACTGGGGTGATCTAAAAGATTCCAAGAAAAGTCATTTTATCTGATGATTCTAGAATTGGAGATTTCCTATTTGTATCAGTTATCTCTATTTATATTTTCAATTGCTTTTGTTGAAAATAAACATCGCACCTATAAAAATGTCATATTTTATCTCCATTTGGAAATGAATGCGTAGGTATAGGTACTTATTGTGGCAATATACCGGGTGACACAGGAGACTTGTAACAGCCTGTAGTTTTTGTATTTAAAGAGATAAAAAATTGAGATTCACAAGGGTTATATTATCGATGATGGCGCTTTGTTTGCCCATTTAACTGACATTGTATAGCAATAGTGTCGACTTTGAAAACCCTGTAATGGCTCTAAATCACTGATGCTCCACTAAACCATTAACATTGATAGGAGCTATCTATGGGCAATGAACTTCTATAGGTAGACGTAAAATGCTTCTCAATCTACAGCGAGTGCAGCGGGACTGATAAGGTAAAAATTTTAATATGTGTGTAAGCCCGATACTAACACGGGGGTAACCATGGACGTATAAGGGGGTAACGGTAGGAATGATAAAAGCCTGGCAAGCGTTCTCCTCTTGCAAGTAGACATTTCAAATTTTCCTGACCCACACTTCACTATTAAAAGAATGAATTACAAAATCTATTATATGGGATTATCAACATAGGTGCTCATATTTTTATCAGTTTTTATCAATATGGATGAATCTTTAATCACTTGTGATACAGACGAAGTCTGGTAAACAATGGATTATAATAACATTTGTAGAAATAAAGGTGTAGATGAATGTAAATATTCGGCCTGTTAGACATAGTGATATTTGGATGAATTAAACTATAAATTGAACAATAATAATACGCATGAACAAGGGTTTGAAAGGGGTTTCAAATGCAGTTATTCAATAAAACGAATATCATCATCAATATTTTCATCGCAAGTTATAGTAATAGTAATAATATTTCTCGTGATATCTACAGCTCGTATATCCCCTCGCTAATATCATCTCCTAAACATAATAAGATAATAATAACAGCATCAGAGTATGTTTGGGTGTTGATGCTGAACCCCAAGTATGAACAGTATTCCAGAACTGGCCGTATCTGTGCTTTGTAGATCATGAGAAGCTGTTGATGTGTGAAGTAGCCTTTCCTACGGAACAAAAATCCGAGATTTTGTGAAGCAGCCTTCGCTACATTGTTATATATCAGGCATGCATATGGATGTGTCAAATGCTGACCACAAGAACAGCTGAAACGAAAGTGGGCGAGAGCAGCTTTCAAATCAGTACGTACAGGGGCTGTCCACAAGGAGGGGTGCTGTGACCCTTGATGTGGAGTCTAGTACTTGATTTGGATATGCGGACGACATAGTCATCATGGCCAAAGGCAAATTTTGAAGGGACACTCTGCGACCTCATAGAAGGAGAGCTAGAGAGACTACCAGGAGATATTGCCATTCGGTGGGGTTGATAATTAACTCAACGAAAACCACATTGGTACCTTTTACTAGAAGAAAAAAGGTTCAGCACTTGAGGTTCGTCCGTTTAGACGGAGCAGACCTAGAATGGCAGCAAGAAGTGAAGTATCTAGGGCTCATCCTAGACTCAAAGCTTCTCTGGAATAGACACGTAGCAAAGATCGCCAGTAAGGCAAAATCATCACTGATGGTGTGCACGAACCTTGCAGGCAAAACGTGGGGTGTAACCCATCAATACTGTCATGGTTGTACATCATGCTAGTGAGACCTATATGATCACCTACGGAGCAGTAGTGTGGCACGGCAGAACCAAACACGCCACTACAAGGAAAATATCAGAGAAGATTGGCATGACTTGCATAACGGGAGCAATGAGATCAGCTCCAACAGCAGCACTAGAGCTCATTCTGAATCTCACACCTCTACACATCTTTGTGAGGAGGACTGCCTACGGAGCACATCTCAGGTTGGCCAAGGTCGAACTAAGAGGGAAAACGCACAGTGCAAAACAGGGCTTACCCCCCACTGAGATTGCACACCTCGCCGATCTCCTAACAGACCAAATCATTAGGAAGTTCAGTTTTGAGAAGAACTTCCGAGTGAAACTGAGCAACAAGCGCAAATGGATCATAGAATCCATCGAAGCGCTGGAAAGGAACACCATTACTTGGTATACGGACGGGTCTAAAACATCCGAGGAAACTGGAGCAGAAAGTCTTTGGGCCTCGCACCAAATACTTCGAATCCATGGGACAATTTCCCAGCATTTTTCAAGCTGAAATACACGTCATAGAAAGATGCATCCAGTTCAACCTAGACAGGAAATCCCGGAAGAAGGATATTGCAATTTCATCCGATAGCCAAGCAGCCATCAAAGGGTTGAGCTCTTCTAACATCAACTCGAAGATGGTATGGGAATGCCTGAGCAAATTGGATGAGCTAGGAAGTAACAATAAAGTGATCCTCCTCAGGGTGCCAGGGCATATCGAAGTGGACGGGAATGAAGAAGCAGACACTCTGACACCACGACAATGGGCCTCAACGCCACTGATCGGACCAGAGCCAGTCTGCAGCCTTGGAAATTCCTATTTTCAAAGGGGAACTTGAAAAGGTGGAAGTAGCCTTGAGAGCCAGACAATGGAGGAGACTTCCAGGACTGCGGCAGGCTAAAGATCTAATCGGAAATTTCAACCGAGAAAGATCTAAGACATTGATAAACCTCAGCAAAGGAAGTCTCAAAGCAATAACGAGATTTATAACGAGGCATTGCAGACTCAAAAAACACCTAAGGAAGCTTGGCTTACAGGAGGACGGCACCTGCAGATTCTGTGAGGAAGAATCAGAATCACCCCATCACATACTGATGGAGTGTGACGATGTACATCACAAACGATTGAACATACTGGGAACACACCAGCTGACTATGGAAGAAATACCACAACTAGATCCCCAAAATCGTCAAATTTCTGAAGGAATTGAATATTGAGGGGCTGCTCTGAACAAGAAATCCTTGATATAGCAGAAGCAGATGGGGCACAATAGATCTAATAAGGTCGCAGTGCATCTGTCCCTATCAAACCTCTATCAATACCAATATCAGGAATACGGATTTCCGCCTTTTAAGAGAAAATAAAGGCTTGAGTTTTTGTGTTGTTGTTGGTTCCCAAGGCGCAGGATCTTCATTGACAGCATTGACCCGCCTTCGCCGTGAGTTCTTAGTTTCTTAGGAGGAAATAGGGATTATGGAATAGAACGCAGTATGGAGCAACAACTCTCAACTCTCAACAAGTCATCAATATGAAGTAGGAACAATGTTGGTGCCAAAATTGATCCTTGTAGAACGCCAGAATTGATGGCAATGGTATCAGACGATACTCCGACCACCACCTCGTGGAGCTATCTGACTGAAAGGAAACTCGATAAAATATGACATAGCTGATGAGGTGGAAAGTCGTATGATAGTAGCTTGTGAAGGAGTTTTTGGTGCCAACCACGATAGAATGCTTTCGATATGTCTGACGCCACAGCTATAGATTTTTATAAAGCTTTTTCATATATGGGTGACGTACAGGCAAGTAGATCTCCAGTTCATTTTCGGTGGAGAAAGCCGTATTGTTCATCATTGATGATTCCTGAGCTTCCCAGATATTTGATAAGCTCAACTGTGGAGATAACTGATAACAGGGCAATAGACCTTTAGTCGTTGGGCAGGTTTTTGTTTCTTCATTTTGGATTGGTTGGACTCTAGCTTTCTTCCAGCAAGATGAAAAAATACCCGATTTTTACGAGATGGTGAATAATTTGATAATGATAATTGGTGTGCATTTTTTGAGCATAATTGGTGGAATTCCATCAGGACCGTTAGGGTTATTCGTTTTCAGACCAAGCGAAATGCGTCTGATAGTGCGTTGAGGGAAGACGATTCCGGGCATTCGACTTTCATGGGTGGAATATCTGGCGGCACTTTTCCTTGGGAATCTAAAGTAAAGAGTTTGCTGCGAGCATTTCTGCAAAAACGTTTGCTTTCTCTTGCGATATTGTTGCTAATGTGCCGTCGGTCTTGGTTAGTGGTGGAAATGAACTATTAGTGAACTTATTCCCGACTGCTTCGACGAGGGACCAAAAAGAAACGGGTGCCATTGAGACAACATGATGATTTCGATTTTTATGCAATAGCTTTTAGCACTCATCACTCATTCAAAAGTATATAACATTTAGCAGTGGTCTATTGCTGCCCTACCAACAGAGACATATTTTTTGAGACAACCTCTACTTTTTTCTAATTCAGGCGGGTATTTTATGCCCCTATCTTCATGTCATACGAACCCTTATTGGAGTTTTTTTTTCAGTTGATACAATACCATGAAGCAAATACGAGAAATTTTTGTGGTGATCCTTATTCATTTGGCTTGCGCCCATTGCGTACCACAATGCTGTCACGGAGAAAATACAGCGAAGTCGACACGGTTCTGTTCGAGTGGAGCACCTATAAACATATCTGGCTGCAATGTTAGGTTTATCATGGAAGAAGCAGATCATACTTCAGTAGTTACAGTGGACAAAGACGATAATCTGATTCTTGATGGAACACACATGGCAGTAGCGAACGAGTATGTACCTATACCTGACTTTCTGATTGTCAAATGGAAATCGTCCCTGATATACAGGGTGTCTGTGAAAGGTTGGGACATGGCTCTACTGTGGACTCCAGCTGGGATAAAAACAAGTTGATTTAGGCCAACTTACCTATATCCAAAATCGTCTCGTTGAGTTGGTACAAGGCGTTGAACTTTTTATGGAAAAAAATAGTTTTGCTTATAAAAAGAGTAGGCTGAGATCGATTCTCATAATTTGCCATGGCATGTTTTGAGATGTTTTTGATCATCATCAGTGACCTTAAAGTGTTGCAAACAACGATGTAGCCGTACAAATTTCGTGATAACTTTTCAGAGGTCAGACTGGAAACTTCCAGTTTATTTTTCCAGTAAGATAATGCCTTCAGAAATATTTTTTGTATCGTGTTAATTTTTGATAATTCTCGAGGTTCATTTGCAAATAAATAATTTTTGATCTGATGCATCCTGTGAATTTTTGAAAATTAATGTAATTAGTCGGACTGTTTATTGATCATGGCTACAATGTATTCTCATTGTGAACAAACTGATACGTTGCTGGTCCTCGCGGGCTTCACAAGAACTCTGGCGTTACAAACTTAGTGATAATTATTCAGGACCTAAGGTGAGACCTTTATCGCCTTGTTCCAACTCAACGAAAGGATGGGTTGTTTGAAACACTTGCAGGTCACTAATGATGATAAAAAACATCTCGAAACGTGACTTACAGTCACAGCACATGCCATGCCAAAAATTATGAAAATCGTTTTCAGCCTACTCTTTTTATGAGCAGAATTATTTTTTCCAAAACAACTTCAACGCCTAAATCAACTTGTTTTTATGCCTGGAGTCCACAGGCGAGCCATATCCCAACCTTTTACATCAGACACCCTGAATAATATGACATTTCTATTGTTTGATTTTCTGGATTCAAAGATACGTCTGGTGAAACCGGAATTGGTAAAATATTTTTTGTCAAAAAAAAAATCCCTTATGTATAAAGGTGAGTCAGAATAAAACCGACGATCCTATCTTAGATATATTGGGCATATTTGAATTTGAAGGTTTTACGAGATATTCGCAAAAAACTATGAGGATATATTATTATAGTTATTATTTTTGAATGTATGATGAATTGATATTCATCATACAGGTCGTGGAAAGAAATTCTGAATTGTGATATAATTCAATTTTCGTCGTGGCATATAGCCACAAAATTAGTTGTTTTTTGTTGAATAAACCAAGAAAGAATTGATATTTTCACCACATAAAGAATTCGAATTCTCAATGTATTTCTTCGGAAACTCGAGAAAATCACCGTGATGAAATGCATTGTACAACCTACGTTGATATTCTGAAAATGAGGAGAGGTATCTGAAAACGAAGTGTCGGTCTTATTCTGTACATCATCCTGTATATAAGTTGTTCAAAATTTTAATTATGCATCTTCAAAACGATTCTTGCTATTTTGCTTTTTTTTTCTATTGTCAATAAAAAATATATAATTTTTCAGTTATTGTTTTACAAAGCTCGAACCTGCCCACAAAAACGTCTATGTGGTATGCATGTCAGATGAGCTCGTACAACAGGATTCACAAGAAGTGCAAATATCTTTGAACATAGTACTTCAAATGATCTCTGTGATTTTCATCTTCTTCACTGTCATCGTGTATTTGATATTGCCTCAAATGCTAGACTTACAGGTGAGAAAATCAAATAGATTCCATTCATGTTTATAAATTTCGAGAAATACTATACAGTTATATCGAAGACTGGAACCTTTGGCACGATAATACCAAAGAATAGTAGGCTCCTCTTTGATAATACACTACACTGTTTTGCCACTAACCAAACCGATTTTTTACACCTCGACATGTGTTTCGCTAACTATGTTAGCATCTTCAGGAGAAGATTAAAACTAAATGCTCTATTCTAGTGGGCTACGTATGTACTAAGTATATGTCCACCCAACCGTGAATAGATAATAACCGCCAAGTTAATGTTATTCATGGTTGAGTTCACATGTCTTAAATATCTCTAAGCTTTCACATGCTTCTAATTTTATAACATTATGTTAACTTGCTTTACTAATTTGACATTATCAATATGTGTGTTATGATTGTGATTGAACATATGGGTTCCTAACTTACCATATTTCAAATGTGCTAGTGTTATTTGAACCTTGTTTTCATGGGACGTCTGGTTTGGCCTATATATGTTTTATCACGATCATTACAACTAATTTCATATATTCCTGACTTTCCAAGTAGTGTGTCCAACCTTATCTTTCGGATTACCTAATGAATTGCCTATAACTTTGACCCAGACTGATATACGCTTTCAAAACCTAGGTCTCTGAAAACCTTATCAAGTCCTCCTGTGTACTTGATGGGATTGAAAGGGATTGGGATTTTTCTCTGATAGTTTTTATCTTCTTGAAAAGTCGTAGAATTCCTGAGTGATAACTTAAATTTATGTTTACGTATTAATTCATCTACCATTTTGATATCATAACCATTGACGCCAGCCACTTTATAAACAACACTCCTTTCAACATCGAATCTTTGTTTACTCAGAGGAAATGAAACTTAGTCTATGTATACTAGGAAATTTAAACTTGCCATTTTGTTTTGAAAACAGGGATTGTAGTCATTAGTTATATATCTAAGTGTGTTTCTTTCCCATATATATGCTCCCATATAAGTACATGTTGGACACCTTTGAATTCATGAGTTTGTTGGACAGAAGAAATAAACAGGCAGTGCTATTCATATACTATCTATTGAACTATAAAGTACAAAGACTGATTGAATCAAGTATATAGACATAAACGTTCCTAAAATCAATTTGAGAATCAGAAACTATGATAATTTCAGGGTAGATCTAGTCAGCACATCACCAATGGATAAAATGCTATCAATATGCAATCAAGAGCTCAAGCAAACACACATAGATATATTCAACACAAACGTGAAAGAGCTACAAAAATAAGACGTGTGAAACTATCACACACTTCCTGTTTGTGACTGCTTGTGCCTTACCTAGTAATAAGTTTAGTTGTATAGTTGTATTGTTGTAAATGTCTTCTGTATATTACCATTACTTTTCGGTGTTTGTAATGAGGTCAAAGAAAAAAATAATATTCTGAGAAAAAAATTATATGTTATAGATTCTACTACTTTCCTGCCTAGACTTTTATATAATTCTACATAACTTATATTTGGTTTAAGGGTATAAGCATCATCCATTCCATGACTGGTTTAGCACTAGCGTACATTGTGCTGGTGGTAATCAATCTTTCCACGCATCTACGGCCATTGATGTGCCATTTTCTAGCGTACTGCGTCTATACTTCTTTCTTATATGCATTTTTCTGGTTGAACATCATTTGCTTCCATATCTGGAGACAAATTATGTAAGTATGACTTAATTCTTGTTGAACAATTATTTTTTTTTTTTAATTGACTCGGCCGTTGCTTTTGATGAAAATCCATGGCAAATGTAAAAACTTCACAAACGATAAGATTTCCACAAAATTCTCAAACACACGACATGTTTCACTAACACAGTAGCTTCGTCAGGTGATATACATTTATAAGGCAAAATGAAAAATACTGGTTGATCCACATTTGAGTTATGACGTCCGCTAGAATTTTTTCAAATGGAACATTCTATACATATGTAATCAAATAAAAATAAGGATGGAGATTTCCATCACTTTGTTAAGTAATACTACCGAAGGGAATAAACTGATAGCCACTGCTAACATGAGTCCTCTATTTCAGTGAATTTATTCGCTTTCAAAACTATATGGGCATACCACGATTTTGAAATTTTTGTAATTGTGATGTTTGATCTATCTCGTAAATGATTGAGCTTCTAATTTTATTTAGTATGTTAGGTATAGCAATCTGGTTAATAATTATTATTATGTCAGTATGGTAAATCATGATTCTTGATTTCAGAAACCCATATATCCTTGCTTCAGTGAAACGCTGGAGGCTAATTTACCACATTTACGGCATAATGGGACCTCTTCTATGTATGGTCGTTTTGTTGATAATCCACTATGTTGATACTCCTTACTTCAAAAGTATACACCCTGGAATAGGAGAAGTCAGTTGTTGGTTCAAATGTAAGTATATTAATAAAATTATGTAATACAGAGGATGCACGTTTACGTATAAATAGACAAGTGGCATATCAGATTCTCTCATCAGAAATGATAAATGCATAACATCAAGAATAGAGGAGACAAATATATACTAACTTCAGTTTCTTTCAGATGTTCTGTGTGTTGATTCAGATATACGAGACAAACCCTGATGTATTCCCTATCAAAATGGTCGTCTTCCTGAAAAATGTTGACATTGAATTTTTCAAATTTCAGCTTCAAGAGAAACATTTATCTATTTCTACATGCCCGCAATCATTTTAATCTCCTTGAATGTGGTCTTCGTGTGTTAATTCAGGTATACGAGATGAACCCTGATGTATTCCCTATCAAAATGCTCGTCTTCCTGAAAAATTTTGACATTGAATTTTTCAAATTTCAGCTACAAGAGAAATATTTATCTATTTCTACATGCCCGTGATCATTTTAATTTCCTTGAATGTGATCTTCTTCATTTGGACATTTCAGATGTATGTATGACCCTGTGTGTTAATGCAGGTATACGAGACAAACCCTGATGTATTCCCTATCAATAAAATGCTCGTCTTCCTGAAAAATGTTGACATTGAATTTTCCAAATTTCAGCTTCAAGAGAAACATTCATCTATTTCTACATGCCCGTAATCATTTTAATCTCCTTGAATGTGGTCTTCGTGTGTTAATTCAGGTATACGAGATAAACCCTGATGTATTCCCTTCAAAATGCTCGTCTTCCTGAAAAATGTTGACATTGAATTTTTCAAATTTCAGCTTCAAGAGAAACATTTATCTATTTCTACATGCCCGTAATCATTTTGATCTCCTTGAATGTGGTCTTTTTCATTTGGACATCTGTAGTGCTATGGAAACAGTCGAAAAACTGCAAGAAGAACAAAATAATGAAATACAGGTAATTCATAAATTTTGGCTGTTGCTAGACGCAACAATTCACTAATGAAAAGCATTACTTTAGGGTACGGATGTACGTCAAACTGTTTTTCGTTATGGGGGTCACATGGATATTCGAGGTAATCCAGACTGTCACCGATGGCCACTTCAGGTGGCTCTGGTACTTTCTGGACGCTGTGAATGCGTTGGAGGGGCTCATCATTTTCCTGATATTGGTGGTTTTCCGGAAAAGAGTCGTACGGTCGCTGGCCAACAAAACAATTTTCAATAGAATCAAACTTCCTTCGAGCTGGAAGTACGTCGAGGATAGTGAATGCGAAGAACTGGACGTTGAAGAGGAGCTCAACTGTTTGGAATCTCGGGATGAAAATATATATACGACAGAAGTTCAAATTAAATGATATCGAATGATATCGAATGTACAAATTCCTAAAATGATTCAATTAGTTACATGAAGAACTTATATATAACAGCCCTGTTAACACAGATTGATCCCAGAGATCAGAGGGCATCACATTCATGCCTTACATCCCATCCGTGACTCGGAATGAGGGTCTCGGTGAAATCACAATGACTGCTATTCCGGACCTTTTTGGTCATTTTATGATTCACATCATGATGCCAAATGAAACTCACAGTATACGTATTAAGCGACTCCTCATTCAACATCAGAATTATTTGATTTCGTTTGTTACATAAACAGCCATGGGATGTGAGGCAGTCCAATCAAATGGTATTTTCACTTGGGAAAAATTCAAATAGTCGGTTTCTCTGTGGTTTCATTTGTTTTTGGAGGTGCTGAATTCGAATCTGAATTTTGCATACAACATTTCCTGGAGCGTTCCGAGATATTACCAAAAAACAGCGAAATTTTCGCACTTTTTTCGGTTTTTCCCCGTAACTCGGGAACTATACGTTATATCGAAAAGACCGCCCCATAAAAAGTTGAAGGAGATAACATTTCCTAAATATAATTCTGATTGCTCATGAATGTAGGACTAACGAATGCGGAGATAGAACCAGTTGAAAATTGACCAAATTTGCGTACTTTTCAAAAAATAGACTTCTAATAAAGCCTAAAATTTTCTTGGCGGTTGAATTTTCCGTTTCAACAGGCGTTATCTAGACCTGTTTTAGGGTAGTCAATCTTTGGCGGACTGGTACATTACATGAACAAAAGTGCTCCGCGGTTTAGTGTCAGTCTCCTCTAGACCCATTATTTTTTAGAGGGTAGTGGTTTAGCTCTTGTTTGCTGAGACTCACTAGCTTACGAATTGTTGAAGAACTCTTTCCTTCTCGTTTACCTGGAGTTGCTCAACAGTAGCAGGATTTTTAACTTCATTCTTATTTTCTAAGCTCTATGATAAGGTGTGGCATTTGCTTGTCTCACAGAAAGGTAAAATGTGAGCTCTGCACTTTATTGCTAGGCGATCAGCTGCCTCATTCCCTTGACGCCTTGGAACCCACATGAGCGAGAATTGATTATAATACTTATCCATCTCAAAATAGGTAATTTTGATAGTTTAAATAGTTCATCAGTTTTTCATCATTTCAAAGAATACCCTATAGTATTTGGAATCATTGTATCGCAATTATAACAACTATAATTCCAGCGTACAGCATTATACTTTTTAGTCCTACATTTATAAACAAGAACAATTTTATCCTGTAAATTTTATCTACTTCAACTTTTTATAGGGCGGATTTCCGAATTACGGGCAAAAAATCGAAAAAAGTGTGAAAATTTCGCTGTTTTTTGCTAATATCTCGAATATCATATAAAACCACAGAGAAACCGACTATTCGAATTTTTTCCCGCATTGGGTCCGTTTTACTTCTGACTGAGCTAAGGTTCCAGTGAGTCTTGGTTGTTAGAGAGCCTGATAAATTCACCTACATTTCAAGTCCCAAATCTAATAAAATGTGACGAATATTGCAAATGTTTTGTACAATGGAGAGGCCCCTGACGATACCAATAATGATGTTTTGTTGTAATTCACATTGAGTTACCTATAGCGAGGCATGAATGTGACATCCCAGGGATGTTTGTGTTTACTGAAAGGTTTTTACAAATTGATACTATTGACTCTTGAGACCAAAACGAGAAGTTTGAATCAAACTTACCTCTAAACCAAAACGCTCGCTCCGTTTAACCGCTACAGGGCGTTGGAATTAGATTTTTATTTTTAATTTTACGCATCAGGCTCTGTCTTTTGAATTCGTGGAGAAATGTGTGCCATAATATTGAATATAATTGATATACTTGGTATGATTCCATATGAAAATTAAGTACGAATAACCTACAATCATGAAATAATTCTGCAAAGTATGCGTGCATCGAATTGAATTTGGTAAATTAACTTGCAAACCAATAGACATATCTAAAAATTTCAAGAGGGCTAAAAAAATTCATTGAACATTGTTATTTTATGAAAACAAAAAAGACATACCATTCAATACCCTCTCTGAAATGTATAAGTACGATCTTTAAATTTCGTGAGAAAGATTTTTGGAGATATAAATGAAAAGAAGAAAACATTTTGTTTTCTCTTGGACACCCTATATCTCGGAAACGAAACATTTTCGAACCCATCATGTTCATGTGAACTCTTCTTCATATTTTGTTTGAGAGGAATCTCTTCTAGGATTTTGTCACCACAACACTGAAACACCCTGTATACTATATTATGTTTTATTATAAAATAAATAAATGATCTGAATCAATAGTTTTATTACTGAGGTAGGTGAACTATATTTCAGAATCTATACATAATCTCTCTATTTTACAAGGTAACACCTGACGGCAACAACTTGAGCACTTTTTAGCGGTTTGTTTTCATGATGTGACCAATGAAAATAAGTGTAAGTATATATAATATAGTTGCGAAATAGGGAAGCACAAAAAAAAATATGTAGGTATAGGTACTGTATAGATACGCGCATAGCTTTAGGACGACTGCAACAAATATCGTAGGAGGCCGGGCTGAACAGCTATGTAGCCAAGCAAGTAAGGCCCCGATGGGCCCTTTTTGCTAACCACTGCTCTCCACATATCTACGCTTCCTCCACCTAGATTTCCTTTACGAATCTTCCTGACCTTCTGATGAAGGCCAGTATGTCCGTCCACTCTAATATACTAAAGTCCTCCTGTTGGAGTTTGTCTACTCCAAAGATTCCAAATCTCAGCCTTCCGAATGTCTCGCACTCGCCGAGGAAATGGAGTGACATCTCCTCGTCTTCCCCGCATCTGCGGTAAGTGGGGTTGTCCTCTATTCCCATAAGTGATAGGTGTCTGCCTAGCCTGTTGTGTCCTGTGAGTACTCCTATGAGGAGGTGGAGTACTTGGCGGTCTCTGCCAAGCAGCCACTCCTTCCTTGATTTGCTTGAACCGGCCATGAATTCCTTGGCCTGCCTGCAACCTGTGATATTCCTCCAATATTCTCCTATAGTGACTTGTCCGCCCATTCATCGGGGGCTGACGTAATTTGGCTCCTTGCTATGCCTAGTACAGGCTCTGGTCCCAGAAACGGCTCCGCGGATCCGGCCCTAGCAAGTTCGTCTGCTGTTTCGTTTCCGGGCTAATATCTCAAAGGCATTTCCACATTCCTGTACCAATGCTGAGCTTGGTCTGGGATGACAGATAGCCCTGAGTGCTGCCTGACTGTCCGAACAGATGTAGATCGTCTGCTCTGGTCCCTCTTTCACCTCTTGCCTTTCTGCTACGACCAGGATGGCGAAGACCTCACAGCTTGGAAGACTGTGGTGTATTCTCCTAGAGCGTAGATTTCTCGTAGGTATGTTTCTTTTTTCGATATAGATCCCTGCGCCCGAGGCCTGTTTGTCAGTCAGACGGGATCCGTCTGTGTAGCATACTAAAGCTTCCTGGGCGAAACTTCACTGTATTGTTTCTCCATTCTTCTCTGCTTGGAATAGTAAGTTTGAACTTCCTATTCCATCTCAGCCTGTCCTGCGCTTTATTCACTCTGAGAGTATAGAGATAGGAATCTCCTGCTCCACCCACTGCTCTGCTATTTTTGCATGTTCTGTTATTGTCCCTTCATTTGCCCAGTTTCCTGAGTCCCGCATCCTCAGGTGGGCCGCCATCGCCTCCTTCTTTATCCAGATTAGAGCTGAACAGCTATAGTTGAATAAGAATTTGAGTTCAGAATTCCAAAATTTTGATCAGGTGCATATATCATACTTGAATCATATACTGCGCAGGGGGTTGAGGTAATAACAATCCCATATATCTTTCATAGTATTTTTTTTCCACATTCTCCTTTCAGAATATCTGATACCGGAACGCCGTTTTTCTTGCTCGAAAAACATTTTCTTAGTTCGCATCGATATATAGGCCTGGTAGTGAAAAAATTGCATTCTTTTATACAGGGTGTTCCCTAAAGACATGCTAATATTTGAGGGGGTGATTTTCTGACTCATTTTAAGAAGAAAACTTCATATAAAAGTATGTCCTAGAAGTTTTAACTTTTGAGATACAGGGTGATGAAGTTTTGAAAAATATTCAGTGTTTTGATGACAATATTGTATACATATTTTTGAAATTTGGTACACGTCTTTCATGCATCAAGGTGCATTTTCTGAAGTACAAAAATGTTCATGTTCTCTACCAGTGGCACCCGTTAGGGGAAAATCATTGTTGGCAATGTTGTTGTTGGGCAACGACGAAAAAATTTCAAATTACATACAATAATGCTATAAAAGGCTATTCAATTAAGTACAAAAAAGTTCCTTTTGTTGATTCTCGATAGAATTAACGCTTCGTTTTCGAGAAAAAGCGGAAAAACGAGACCAAACTTCGAATCTTGATGTTTGATGGGTGGACAAAAATATAATCTATGCATATTTTTAACATTGACACCCGACACCCTCAAAAGTTTGGACGCTTACGACATATGTTCATATGGAGTTTTATTCTTGAAATGGGTCGAAGAATCGGCCCCTTGAATATTAGCATATCATTGAGGAACACCCTGTATATACGTCGATGCATCATCAGCACCCTAAAGGCGGGTCCACATTAGTAAATATTTGCGTTGTGTGTTGAATTTAGGATTCGCCATAAATATTTGCGTCGCAAATTGGTTAACGTCCCTGCGCAAATATTTACGTTGTGTGCCGTGCGTCCCTGCTCAACACGTGTGCGAAGTTGTGTGGTGGTTTGTTTTGTGTTCTCGATACCTAGTTAGTACATCTAGAAAATAAACAAAAATGAATTTAAACAAAGAGGACAGTCTCCAGTTAATTCAAGAATATCAAAAACATAAGATTTTATGGGACCCAAAAGACAAGTGGTATTTCCATAAAATTAAAAAGAATGATGCTTGAGAGGAAGTCGCTATACATCTTTAAATATAGATGTAGAAGACGCAAAAAAGAAAATATCTAGCCTTCTAGGCTCATTTCGCAGAGAAAAAGCGAAAAATCATTTGGTGACATACGCAAAAAATTTTTGAAATGACCAGTACTCTCATCCAAGGATAATAGATTCACTAATTCAATACCGTCTAATTGTTTTCTGTTTTGATACAGATGCCTTATCCAATACTGCCTCATGTTTTTTGGCTTTTTAGCTTTTTCCTTTTTGATAATAAGATGGTGCATAACAAGGAAAGCAGCCCATTTCCTTTTCATTAATAAATTAGCAGACATAGGTAATTTGTGCCGAATGCCCCGCACAACGTAAATTTTTACTAATGTGGACCCGCCTTAAAGGTCGACGGACTTACCTCAACCGCGGTCACACTGAAATATTGAAAATTGGGTACACTGCCGCATGAACTTTTGACGCTAAAAGTAGTTATGGTTAAAACAAGCCGCCCATTTTGAGGAAGCATTTTTCGACAAATATTTACTGAAATTTTCTTTCATACAAATACCTCAAGAATCACCCACAATTTTTTTTTTCGATTTTGCCATACACTTGTATAGCTATAAAACTGTGACACCCTGTATCGAAGATATCTGCATTTTGTTATTCTGTGAAAATGATGTTCTGTGATCTACGAAAAAGTTTTTTGGTTATGTTATCTTAACCCATTCTTAACCTAACTTAAAATGCAAAAAATGTAAACAAGACGTTTTAGATCAATTTTAGAATTCCGATATTCTTTGAGAAAATGACAGGAAAAACTGAAGCAAGTGGTAACGTGGTCGCACCAACCGTGCAGCAGATAATTTCAGATAGAATTACAGAGGTACGTTTTTATTTTCATTATAAAAAACCAGGTGTTTGGAATAAGATGTTGATTTTCCTATGAAGCTTGCAGAGAAATATTGGGCACCACATTCACAAGAAAAGCACCTAGAATTCGATCCTGATGTCATTGAAGATATTTACATGCATGATATTCGTGGCAGCAAGTAAGTAAATGTGGCAATAGAGATATATTTCTCTACTTCTAATTGTTTTAGCTTCTCTGTTCGGAGAACCATGATACTGGAATTCAGTCAGTATTTAGAAAACTTCCTTTGGCCCAACTATAACTCCAGTTCTTCCTATGCTCATATGATGTCAATCATAATAATGGTTAATGAAAAATTCAGAGAAAGAGTACAAGTATGGCAAGTAGGTATGGCAGCTTCTTTCATTTTCTTTTTCTAAATAGGTATCTTTTTTCTAGGCATTCCGTAAAGTTCCTGATCATTTTCCAGATTTCTTCCAACAAGTATTGAGAGCTTGTCTTGAAGATGAGCTTTTGGTGAACATAAGAGAACAAACAGCACTTTTGGTCTTTCTCAACCACTGTTTTAGTAGTATGGAGGAAGCTCTATGCCGTGATCAGGTTAAAAGATTAGTTTCTCTATCCATGTGGGTATCTTTACAACCTGCCAGGAGAGAATATGAGTTCAAATTGAATCCAAAATGGAAAAAATACTGGAGAGCTATACAGAGGAAAGATAAACCAGATCAATTGGAGAAACTGACATGGGAAAGAACCTTTTTACATAGGCTTATGTTGAAATTCATGGATATTTTGGATTCAATTACTGAAGATGGCATTTGCCCTAGTGACAAAGTTCATTATTGTGAGAGATTCCTTGAATTGATGATAGATCTAGAGGCTCTTTTACCTACAAGAAGATTTTTCAACACTGTGCTAGATGACTGTCATTTGGTAGTACGTTGCCAACTTTCTGCATTGGTCAAAAGAACAGAAGGGCATCTATTCAGTCAGGTAAAATCATTCCAAAACTCAAAACCATGTACAGTATTTTTTATTTCAATGTTCTTGTTTTCTGCAGCTTCTAGAAATGCTGAAATTCTATACTAGATTTGAGATCAGTGATGAATCAGGAGACCCATTGACAGATCATGATATGACCCAATTGCATTATTCTAAAATCACAAGCTTACAGGTATATAGGTAGGTTCTTGAAGGGATATTCATTTTTCATTTTGCTCTTTCAATTTCAGAAAGCAGCATTTAAAAACTTTCCAGATTTGAGGAATTTTGCACTTAGTAATGTTGCAAATGTTGATACAAGAAAAAGTCTTACCAAACACTTTGCTGCTCTTGGGTTTGTATAAAAAACACCTATCCAGAATATAAAGATTAAAGTTGAAATATTTCATGTTTCAGTCAGGAAAATTTGAGACAAATAGCCACTTATTTAAATCTAGTTCCTACTCCAGAACAGGAAGAAGAATACAAATGGTGTAGAATGGATGAGATATTTCTGAGAGAATTATTGGTGAGTAAATTCATGGACATTTAATTTTTCTAGTTTTTGATCTAGGAATTATAAAATTCTTCTTTCTTATAGTTCAGCTACAAATGAAAAAACAGTACATTTATACTACCATTGGATTTTGGAAGCAGATCAAAATAGTATTGTTTTTTTTTAAATTAGATATTTGCCATTTGAAGATTTCCATTTCTAGAAAAAAAGCAATAACTTTTTATTTATTATTTTATTTCATTACAGTAGTGTTCTGTTTCAGCTTCAACATTTAATGGTCAATTTTAATAGCTAAATCTATGAGACAATCATATTATATTCTACAAGTCCACCACAAGTGTCAAAAAATAGTGGCACAATTGGAAACATTTTTGATCTAGAAATTTCAATATTCTTTCTTCTTATTGTTCAGCTACAAATGAAAAAACAGTACATTCATACTACCTCTGGATTTTGGAAGGAGATCAAAATAGTATTGTTTTTTTTTCAAATAGATATTTGCCATTTCAAGATTTCCATTAAAAAAAAAGCAATAACTTTTTATTTAATCTCAATCTACACATGTTTTGTGACTAATTGACACTTCTTTCATGCCTGGCAAAGGTTCTGAGGTTCAATAAAAAAAAACAGTAGTGTTGTGTTTTACCTTCAATATTTAATGGTCAATTTAAATAGCTAAATCTATGAGACAATCATATATTCTACAAATGGTGACACAATGGAAAATTTTATATTTTGGCTCATATTCAGCCTCTTCAAAATTGCCATTCTAATTTTTCATGCCTTGATAGCTTCAACATCTCCAATCATAAAAAGGAAAGTATTGTCATCAGGCTCAGCTATATATTTTTTATTTTGTAGATATCAAGGCATGAGAAAAGAGTTTCCCAATTGGAAGCTCTCAATGAAATGCCTTTGTACCCTACTGAAGACATCATCTGGGATGAAAATATTGTTCCAACTGCCTACTTTTCCGGAGAAGGATGCTTGGCACTTCCCAAGCTCAATTTACAATTTTTGACCTTACATGACTATCTTCTGAGAAATTTCAACCTATTCAGGTTGGAGTCCACATGTAAGTCAGTCATACATTGAAATTCAAATGTTCTCTATGTTTGACACTTACTTTTTTTTCTATCAACAGATGAGATAAGGCAAGATATTGAAGATTCTGTCAGTAGACTTTGCCCTTGGTAAGATATCAGTTAGTAAATATTACTGGTAACATTTTCCACGTCTCCCACTGGCTCAAATTTTTATTGCACTGAATATTTTTTCACTTCTCAGAGTGTATAATTTCATTAGTTGGTATAAGTACTATTGTTGAAGTTTTATTCTGTTGATTTTTGTAGATAAGGTGGCTTGTAGCATTTCTTAACATAACTCTGCCAATTTCCATATTTTAATTGATTCTTTGGAAAGAAATGAGCTGAAATCATTGTATTAGATAAAGTATTGTAAGAATCATAGTGAAAAAATAGATTTGAAGATAAATCAAGAAATAGCACACCTCAGATACAGCAACACGATGTCACAATGATGCCCCCTAAAATACTTTTGAGGTAGCCATTCTAATTTATTGATATGTGCTTATAAGTCATTAAGTTGTCTTGAAAGCAAGACTGTCGACCTTGAAGATGAACCATCATTATAAGAGCAATGAAGCCAGAAATTCTATTCAGTAGGGGCGGTATCTATGGTGAAGATTTGTACTATCCTGATCATCTTGTTGCTGTAAATAATCAAGGCTTGACCACAAGAGCAGTGCCGGATTTATACTTCCTTACGACGGGGGCTAACTTTTACGATGCCGCCGCGCCGCCGCCAAATATTTAATTTTCAATTGTCAGATTCAAAATTCAAATAATCCTTTCACTGCTTCTTTTACAGCATATTACAATAACATGAAATCTTTATGTAAAACGAATCAAATTAAATTTACTTCACACGTTGAACATAACAACAAACAACAAATATTTTTTTCAGAAGAATAGTAAAATACTTTTCTTGATTTTTTTGATGCAGTCTTGAATGGCTTCATCAAAATTCAGATTTAATAACATGTTACTGTTAATAATTGAAAATGATAAGATATTCAATATATCCTCTACCATGGAATTCCTAAGGTAGTTTTTCACTCTTTTTGAAGTTGAGAATGACCTTTCACCACTGGCATTACTAATCATCAGGGATTGTAAAAAAATCCCAGTAATTGCCAATATTCAATGAATTAGGAATTTGTTGTGATTATCCCTAAAACAATGCTTAGTCGTGTTCATATTTTGATCATCTATTTTCGAGATTCTGATTCTGTCTCATTTGAATTTAGAAAAAAATGAATGTATTTCAGGTCATTTCTTGACAACTTAAATTTTTAAATTTCAGTTACCATATTTATTTAATTTTATTACCATTACCAACAATACCAACGACAACCTATTAAATACTGAACTCTGATTTTGTTTTTTGTTATTGAGTTAGAAGAATCACGAAATTACCCCTACTCTACTGAGTAGAATGCGGTTTTTCTTCACATCATCAAATAAAAGTATGTACCGCCGCCGCTTTTGTATTGTAGCGTCCAAGACACAGCTGACGCTAGATTAGTGCATGTTATGATTTTCACAAAAACAGTTATCTCAACCAGTCAACGACTGAATTGCTGCTTGCTTTTCCTCTTTTCTCTTTTTCTCTACCGCCTCTTGAAATTCACCGCCGGGGGCTGATAGTTCCATAGCCCCCCCCCTAAATCCGGCACTGCACAGGAGTGATGATCACTCTTGAATCGTTTATTATTATTGGCATTTTTTCGTAGGAAAGCTGAGAATGATAGCATTTATTGGGGTGGGTGGGCGAGAATGGCACAGGTTATTATCAATTTCGCCGTGGTCGAAGTGGCCAAGCCGAACATCGGCGAAAACAGACCCAGCAAAGTTCGAGCTGACGTAACTGTCAATTTGGCTGTCAGACCTGAAATTAAGGCAGAATGGGAGAATTTGAGGAAACATGACGTATGTTTTTTGGTTACTGTCAAGCCACCAAACCCAATAGGTGAGCAAAGGAAGAAGTAAAGTTCAATATGAATTTCATTATTCGCGTTCGGTATTGTCGCAACTCAGATGGTTCTAGTAGGTTATTTAGGTTATTTGGCATTATTAAGAACGAACGGCGCTTCCACCACGTGTCGCAACGCAGATGTTGACCATCCTATAGGTCGTGACGTAAGCTTGGCTTTTGGACAAGAGGTTTTGATCATTTCACCATCCAACCCTATTCACCCCCCAAATAAAGAGACCGGACAGTTCTCATATAAAATTAACATTTATTGAATAAATGAAGAGTTCATGAATAAATGCTGCCACATGGCAGGTTAGCATAAGGAAAAAGAACAACGCAAAACAACACTTGAAAAAACAGTTGAACATGTTGACCAGCAGGCTTGAAGTTGAGGAGACGGTGAACATTTTCAATTGATGATCACTAAAATGACTTGTGTCGATAATGAATTATTGCCTCCTCGATTCGGGTATTATTTATATTCGGAATCGATGCTAGGTTCGCAATTTTCCACAATGGGAACGGTCGTTACCTTTCGATACCGCTTACCTAGGTATTATCGCCGCGGTAAGCGATTTCTTTGCAAATTATTAACGAAATGATGTCTATGAACTCCGCTGGCCTGATCGAAGTACAATGTACTGAATGTTTTAGTTTGGAAAAGTTAATTAATGATAAAAGATCTTGAAACGAACGAGAGTTTGAGTAGTGTTAATTCATAGGCATTTATACTTCTTGACAGTATTTACATCAGACTGCTCCGATGAATCTGAATCGTTCGTTTATGACATCTAGATGTAGGGGAAGTAGATCTCATCCGTTCGGCAAATAAAATCGGAGCGATCTGACAAAGATCTTAAAGATCGGAGAATTTTGACCGAGCGACGGGAACACATTCAATTAATGTGTTGAGATGATGAATTCAAAGTTATTTTTTTTTATATTTTTTATAATTTTATAGTTTTTGGTATACTCATATTGAAATGGAAATAAATAAAATGAATGAATGGAGTTAGGTTAGGTTACCGTCACACTGTCAACAAAATTTCCACTTCGTTCATTTATTGCCGATTGCCCATGTTACTAGAATCTGTTCTAATCTCCGATGTAAATACCGAACGTGACTATTGCATAGGCTGATCCAATATAGTTTGACCCTCCCTAACTCTTGCTAACATAGCAACCATAGTTGGATAACATAATTGTGAGTTGGTGAGATGAAAGAAACGCCATCTGGTATTCCTGACGAATGAACATATCCAATTTGTGTGGAATCTATAATTATTGTAAGGTTTCTTTGGGACTTATATTTGATACTTCTAAATAAAATGGTGTTCATAAGTCATGTGAATCATGCGATATGAGAAATAAAAAAGGACGATCTTTAATAGTTTTCACATATGGGACCATGAAAATGCTCTAAATATACTTTTCCTGATCATAAGAAGTTATCTGGAAAGGTATCATGAAGGTAATAAAATACAAACAAATCAAATTTGCTTAGCAATGATTGGGAATTTAGGGAATGATTTCAATTTTGAGATTAATTAGTGGCGCATCATCAATGTCTGCCAAAATAGGTGTGTGAAATTCCATAAGAACGCCACTGATGGCAACAACAAAAAATGTGATACACTAACTGATGCCTCTTGATACATAATATAGTACATGTATGCCAAATTTCATCAGAATATCTGAAGTGGTATTACAGATACACACACTGGCACAATTAGGGGAACGGGTAAAATTTACACTAAGTTTGACATCAATTTTCTCTCGAACCGATCACTCGATTCAAATTTGTTTTTCACGAATTGTAGCTTCATTCTTCACGAATACATCTGAGGAATAACCACCTCCAAACGATTCGTCTTCATATCATATACAGGGATGTAGAGAAAGTACGGATTTTTCGGTATTCTTTAAGACATCCTGTGGAGTGAATCACTGATAATTGAAACGATTTTCTAACACCAAATTATAGTCCAATCTATCCCGAATATTTTCGTTTTTTATTCATCTTGATATCCCAATTATCCAAAAAGATATAGAGTTTCAAAGAAGAGGTGGATATTGGTATTAATTTTACCACCTCGAAACTCCAACTGGGGAGAACGTGTCGTTTTTCAACTTGTTTCTGTGAGGATTTTTACTTCAAGATGAGAATTGTTTTACCTATCGGTTTACTGTTTAAAGACACATATACGAATACTCTCATGAATATGCAGGGGTGATAAAAGTTGCTCCAATGTTCTTTTGGTGAAATGTTATTTTTGTTAATCAACGTTGGCTATTTTGTTAATGTCATTAATTATCGTCAAAGTCAAGCGATTCACAATTCATAAATTTGATTAATGAAAATTCAACGTGAGAGATTTAACTCCTACTGATGTGGCGAGGGCTGTAGCATCAATTGAAAATGACCAGTGGGCCAATGTTCTTTTAACATATGAGAGCCGCATCTGCACCAATTTAATAGATGGCAGGGAAATCGTCGAGGTGGTAATTATTTCTCAGATGTATTCATGAAGAATGAAGCTACATTTCGTGAAGAAAAAAATTTGAATCGAGCGATCGGTTCGAAATAAAATTGATGTCAAACTTAGTGTAAATTTTGCCCGTTCCCCTAATTGTGCCAGTGTGTGTATTAATGAAAAACCTTTAATTTTCAAGAACTTTACTACCCTGTATCTTAAAAGTTAAGACGTTTAGGTCATAAGTTCATATGAAATTTTCTTTTTAAAATGGGCTCAAGCATCGCCTCATCAAATATTGACATTCAATTTGGAAACACGCTGTGTATAAAGGGGTCACCAGGTTCTATATTTTATTAGGTACAAAATACAACTATAAGGACCCTTTCATACCTCAAGTAGGCCTCCAGTGCATCAGAGGCTGTGAGGTGGAGGGTATGTTGGACAGTAATGGTAGGGTGATCGAGGATGGACCTGAACCGAGACCTGTTCTACCGGGTGACCAAAGAACATATCGAGTGTGGCTAGATTGCAACCAATATCGGAACGACATGAATAACACCAATCAAGGAAAAGAAGATGTTTATGAAGGTGGATTCATTTTTGTGTATTTCAGTATTTTACTTACTAGGGGCCATTCATTTACAACATTATGATATTTTTCATTTCTTGAACTTTTTTATCTACCTTGTAACATTTCATGAGTTTTATGAAATCCTCTCCCCTGAAAACGGAACAAAACTACAAAATAACCCCCTCTATTGAATTTTCGCACAAAAATACTTCTGAGAACTGATTTTGTTGTCTTGAAAAAAATTAGGAGATGCTCTGCTGTCATAAAATTCATATACCGGGTGGCTACGGAAGTATGAGCTAGAATTTGAGCATATTGACATGTCGAAGTTAACTTCCGGTCTGACCTGAAGTAACATCAACTTTCTTATTTTAAATGGAAACCCTATTTTTTTTTCTTTTCGCTTTATTCAGCATTCAATTCCCTTTCTAATGACATATCACGAGTTGGTATCTAACCAGAAACTAGATCAGAAAAAAATCTGTTTTTTTGTTATTTGAATAATAATAATTGGATTTTTTGGTATTTTATTTCAAAAAATGACTTTCTATTATATCATTAGAAAGGAATGGATATGCTGAATAGTACAGGCAAGAAAAAGTTGTATGTTCCTATTTAAGTTATGGACCTACAGAGTATTGTTTTTTTCCCAATTTTTCCAATATTTTTTTTGGCGGCTTTATATAACGCCAACGAATGAAAATAAAATATCACAGTAGTAGCAACTGTTGGTTTCCATGACCAACTTTTCAATTTTTGGCTTTAATTTTGCTTCCACGGCCTACTCGGTGAATTTCAATAATAATTTTTTTCTGATCTAGTTTCTGGTTAGATACCAACTTGTGATATGTCATTAGAAAGGGAATTGAATGCTGAATAAAGCGAAAAGAAAAAAATAGAGTTGCCATTAAAATAAGAAAGTTGATGTTACTTCCGGTCAGACCAGAAGTTAACTTCGACATGTCAATATGCTCAAATTCTAGTTCTTATGTCATTATATCGACGCTCCAAATTTCACAAACCTACTTCATACAATAACTGAGATATTCCGTAGGCAATACTTCCGTAGCCACCCGGTATATAGTAGTATTTCAACTTAGCCTTCAAACAACCAACGACCATTCAAGGGTGTTCTATTTTTTCTTAATTATCTAATTTATTATTCCTTCGTTCTCTCCATTTCATTGAAATCTACAATATACTGTCGTGAGTGTATGTTTACATTGATTATAATGTTTAAATCTATCTTCCGAGAGAAATGAAACATGAAGCTAGTGGAAATTGATACATAAAAAGTGTTTCAATTTGAATACATTTTGAAACCAAATTTCGACTCTATGTATTTGTCAATCCAATTTCCAGTTGAATATTATTTGAGTTCTTTATTCAACTAAGTTGTTAGCTGTTATTGATTAATGTATGATGAAAAAGAAACCATCAAATCGCAGTGGACCACGATCGATAGCTACAGGCTACAGCTCTAGCGAAAACATTTTTCAAAACAATCGCATAACGTCCTCATATTTTGTCTTCTAGTATGTATATCATAGGACATATTCCAATTACTTTCCGTTGCTCTTGAATGCTATTTTGTTGGATGAACATAATTCACTAATGCAGTTCCTTACTTTGATTTTGTTGTTATGACAAAGACTTAGTAGTGTTTATATTTTATAAAAAACGTACACTCTAAACTAGAGATTCTAGGTAATTTAAGTGAATTGATTGTCAGGGAATACTCCAATATATACACGGTGTCCCAAAATTGCTGGGACACAGAACTACCTCGTGTAATACAGTTGAAAATAACTTGATTGGACCCAACTTATTTGTAAAAAAAATGTACCGTTTGTCCGTTAGACGAGTTCAAAGTTTACATAAAAAACATATTTTTGTGCGCTGACAGCAGAAACAATCGTATTGACATTATTTGTATTGATAAAGGTGGGCATCATATTGAACATTAATTAAAAAGAAACATTCTGCCTTCGTTTCCACTATCAATTACATTTTACATTATAATGATATTAAACTAGGAATATCTTCTGTTAGCATTATTTAAGAAAACATTCTTTTTCTTCGAAACTATGCGGAATATGAAATTTTCACAAGGGAGACAGAATGAAGATAATCAATCAGTCATCTCGCTCAGAAAATTTTAAAACCGTATTACCACCCCTACGAATGTTCTGAAAAATATGTCAGGGCGCGAGGGTGATTTCAATCCTTCTACAATTTCTTCTGGGTTTCTTCTTCTCAGAAAATTTTAGAACCGTATTACCACCCCTAAGAATTTTCTCAAAAATATGTCAGAGGACGAGGGTGGTTTCAACCCTTCTACAATTTCTTCTAGGTTTTTTCTTCTTCAAAATGCACAATTTCATCGAATTTGTTCTTCATGTTTTGAACTCGTCTCACGGACAAACGGAACATTTTGTTGAATAAATAAATTGGGTCCAATCAACTTATTTAGACTTGTATTACATGTGGTAGCTCTGTGTCCCAGCAATTTTGGGATATCCTGTATGTTACAAAGTAGAGTAATTTGGAATGATATAATATACTTCTATTGGTCCTTCATGAAATTGTGGATTGGATTACCTTATGAATTACCACTTCCGTCACCGCGGTGTCTGCTAAAGACAACCTTATCTACAATTATCATCAATTCTATCAGCCTTGGACAATCCGGTCTTCAGAGCGTCCTTGTGGTGAAATCGCAAAGGTTTGTAATTCACGACTTTTCATGACAGGATTCAATATTCTCATGAGGCGAAAACCGAAAGAGAACAACTTCAAGGCGGTTCTGGAAACCATCAGAGAACTGATGAATACAGAATGTGTCGTGCCGGAATGGCTGCATGATATCATCCTAGGCTATGGCGATCCTAGTGCAGCTAACTACAAGAAGATGCCCAATCAAATATCTTCTATGGATTTCAACGATACCTTCATCAATATGGACCACTTGAGATCTTGCTTTCCAGAATATGAATTTCAGGTATTCACTCATAGTGGCAATTTTCTGCTCTATGTTGATTTAAATTAATAATCTACTTCAATAAGGGATTATCCGAATAGTTCAAATGATACCATAACATCTTCAGTTGGTAATGTTAGAAATCACCATCTTGGATCATTTTAAGATCTATTTACACAGCAGATATTCTAAAAGTCTCAGCAAGTTATTATTGAAACTTGAGTTGCATTTAATGCATTAAGGTGTAATGCCGCTGATAAATACAAAAAGCATAACCTAAATATCAACTTGACAGGTAAAGACTGATGACCCTAAGAAATTGGTGAGACCATTCAGGTTGACATTTGAGGATCTAGGAAAGGAAGAGAAGGAAGAAGAAAAGAAGGCGATCATTATTGAACCACATGTAATACCAAGGAGGGGTCCTTATACATTCAATGAACCCAAGAAGTAAGTAATATAGCGATGGGCATTATCAGATGAACAACTCGTTTCATTCATCATTCAACCAAACCTATCATTGTTGACTTCAACATGTCAAGACTTGAAACTATCATCATCACTGGCATAAAATTCAATCATGGTGAATTCTCCGCACATTCATTCAAAATATTCGTTTATTTGAACTCATAATGCCTATATAACGAATGTTTTTTGCTGACCTGAATTATGTGATTTTCTTATATTAAATTCATAGCCAAGATCCCTCTGATTTCATTAATGGTTTGAAGACATCCCAACAAGAGAACATTTTACCTTCTCTATTGACCTACAGACAGTATTAACCTGTGCATAATAAAATCTAAAATATGATTTTGAATATTGTAATAATATATACCATAACATGATGTAACAATAAGACACTAGTTCTGTACCATCCGAAAGCAAATATATTTTGGTTCAATATCAATAGGTAGGAAAAAAAACTATAAAATAGATGCACAAAAATGGAGAAAAAGAATGAAGCTTCTATATTTTCATTTTAGAAACATGATCCATTTTACTCCGACCCAAGTGGAAGCCATAAAATCTGGCATGCAGCCTGGTTTAACCTTAGTCGTCGGTCCTCCGGGTACGGGTAAAACGGACGTTGCCGTCCAAATCATCTCTAATCTGTACCACAACTTTCCCAACCAGCGAACTATCATTGTCACACATTCCAATCAGGCGCTAAATCAGCTTTTCGATAAAATTGTCGCTTTGGACATTGACGAGCGCCATTTACTCCGTTTGGGACATGGTGAGGAAGCATTGGAAACAGAAAAAGACTTCAGTAGGTTAGTAGACATCATATTTATTCTGATTTATGAAGGATATATTATATGTATATAATACAATGCAAGTTATCACTATTTGAAGAGAATTTAGAAGGATCTACCAATTTGGCGCAGTCGGTAGGATGTGTATCCACCCAAATTTCACTTCATTCTTGAAGCAGTATGACAGTCAAACGAGTCATCCAGCATTTATTCTTCCATGATTTTGCTGTTGATAATAATTTTTCAGTTAATTACTATTGCTTTCACGGTATAGATATAAACAACAGCTGTTTAATAGACGTATTTTGGATTTTCTGCTTTCCCCATAATGAAGTTTCCATTGCATTTGTTGAGGCAATAATCATAAATTTTCGTGTCTATTTCTGGGTATATCATTTCTTCCTATGTTTCTTCAGGTATGGTAGGGTGAATTATGTATTAGCTAAGCGATTGGACCTTCTGTTGGAAGTGGAAAGACTTCAAAAGTCTATGAAAGTGGAGGGAGACGTGGCTTACACCTGTGAAACGGCTGGTCACTTCTATTTGTACCAGATTTTATCCAGATGGGAACATTTCCTCAGTATTGTCAAACCGAAATATGAAAAGGTAAGATCAAACATCATGAGCAGACAGGAAAATCAACAAAATATACATGGTGACCTCGAAATAAATACATATCAAACCTCAAAAAGGCTCAAAGTTATATAATCAATGAGCCTCTTCAGACATTTTAAAAAACATTCCGTTATTTTTTTCTGAAAAAAAAAACAATCTTGATAACATGTCTTTCATTCTAAAAATTAGTTGAATATCAGTCTCCAACATCAACAATTTCCCTTTCAGGAAGTGCCAGTCGGCACCGTATCCAAAGAATTCCCGTTCACCAAATTCTTCGATAACGCGCCGAAACCCTTGTTCAAGGGCCAGTCTTACGCAGAAGACCTCGAGATAGCCGAAAGTTGCTTCAGGTACATCCAGCACATTTTCAACGAGCTGGAAGAATTCAGGGCTTTTGAGCTCCTGAGGTCAGGTTTAGACAGGTCGAAGTACCTGTTGGTGAAAGAGGCGAAAATCATTGCGATGACGTGTACTCACGCCGCTTTGAAAAGGAAGGAATTGGTAGAGATAGGTCAGTATTTTTTTCTCTTATCATACAAATCACATGCTATCAAATATCTATATCTAAAAAAAACGAGAATATCATCAATGTGAATTTAAGTGCTTCTGTTCCAAATCAGCAACATGCTGGTGACGGAAAATTTACTACTATGCAATGGCACAAAACAAAAATATAAAAATTAAAATAAAATGTTCTTCAGGTGCATCAATTACAAATAAATAACAACAAACAACAGTTACATTATATCGAAGTTTAATTTCAAAAAATTTCAACACTATTCGAACATTCTCTTTGCCATTTACTTGAAGCTATAAAGTGTTTTTGTGTACTGTCTCAAGATTTTGTTCCTTCTACAGTGTTTCATTATAATAATGAGAAAAATTCCGTGAAAAAAGGATTGCAAAATGAATATTAACGACATTCTCGAAAATGCTGAAGAATTTCCTTTTAAGAAATTAATTGGACTTATGTAGCTAACATGTTATATACTAACGAAGCTATGGTTATTAACGTTGCAAGGCCGATACGTAGCAAATAAATTATTTGCGTATCGGCCGTGTCCTTCAAGACTTCGTAATCTAGCTAAAAGATTACATTTTGATTCCGAGGAAAGAACAAACCACGTACCTCGTAATTCTCCAGAAAAATCCGAACATCTTGTTGTTATGGAACAGCTCAACAATATCACACACAATATTATAAAGGTCTCTGGCCGTTAAACAATCTTAACGGACGGATGCTGTGGACATTAACTTTTCAAGTGACATCGGAATACCGTTAAATCAAAATAACAGTATGGGAAAAAGGAATAAAACTACCTGTGTGCAGGCTAGCTATGCAGGATATCTAGATTGACATTCGGTGTGACAGATTAATTTCAAGAAAACGAATTCAAAAGACGTGAATTGTTTGGTTCTACCTAGTTGATGGTTGATGGCTGAGGTAAAATGATAGAATATTTACATGTGCTGCTTTCTAATGATTTCTATGAAATTGTAATTCTTCTCCATATAGTAATAATACTCCAAGTCGTCTCCACAACGATTAATATCATCAAATAATAAATGGAAAGGGGACATGTTTCGAATCTATAGAGTATCCATCATCAGCCGATTGTGAAATCATTGTGGACCAGAATAAAATTTTGGAATCACATGAAGTTACAAAATTATTTTATGAATATTTAAAACATAGAGAAAATACGTCTTTTGTGTTATAACAGGTTTTCTAAACAGGGGCCCTGTTTCCCGATGAGCCAGTGGAATCACCACATTTGGAGGCCGAAAGACATCCGAAAATGATCATCATTTCGGATAATCTATAATTCTATGATTTTGATTATTCTCCATAGAACTTCAACCTATATCTGATTTCCAATAAAAAATAGTTTAATTTGTATATACAAGACTTGAGAGTTGCTTATGGAACAAATAACACATTGGGAAAGCTAATAAACACTTTTGAAAAAAGAAAAAACTACCAAATTCGAAAAATGAAAGGCTTACAAACTAAATTGTGGGTCTTGTCCTAGTGTTGATATTGGTCAGACAGGTAGAAAGTTTACCCACCATATTCACGAACATCAAATGATTTTTTGTTACATATTTTTTAGTATCTTCATTACCTTCAAACACTGAATAAAACAATCCAACTCATATTATTTCTTGTGTAGGCTTTAAGTATGATAACATATTGATGGAAGAATCGGCTCAGATATTGGAAATCGAAACTTTCATCCCGCTCCTGCTCCAGAATCCGCAAGACGGTTTCAACAGGTTGAAGAGGTGGATAATGATCGGGGATCACCATCAGCTACCCCCCGTCATCAAAAACATGGCTTTCCAAAAGTATTCCAACATGGAGCAGAGTCTGTTCACTCGATTAGTGAGGTTAGGAGTGCCTACCGTCGACCTCGACGGGCAAGGTCGTGCCAGACCAAGGTGAGTGGTAACTAACTTAAACTAACACACTCTCAATATACATACATATCAAATGAAAAAAAGGTTGAAATGAAAAAATTCGAGTATAAACTGATTGAGGAAGAGCAAATTTCATTTCACAGGAAAGCTTCCATTATCAGAATATTTCTTTAGTGATGTATATTTTGCGAAAAATTCACCAGAACATTCTTGATTTGTTTTCTGATATTTTCAACCATTTTCAGTAGTAATATCCCTAGGACATTGATAATAGACGAGATAATTTTATGATATGATAATTTTATGATCACCTTCATTGATATAATTGTGATAATCATTACAAAATGGCGCAGTCAGTAGGGTGCCAGATGATAATTGATAAAATAATGTTATTAGAAGATCACCTTCCTTAATATAAATGTGATAATCATTACAGAATGGCATAGGATGCCATTTTGTAATGATTATCACAGAATGGCATAGGATGCCATTTTGTAATGATTATCACATTTATATTAAGGAAGGTGATCTTCTTAAAACAATATTTTATTAATTATTATCTCTTAGTTTTTATCGTCAAGGTAAAACCTTAAAACAAAGTTTATACAAGATGTTATTACATGATTTCTTTCAATTTAATTTTTGAAATGTGAAGAAGAAACATGAATTCAGAAGATATTTTGAACTGAATTCACTTCCTCTTAGGTTTCTAAGACAAATAAAAAATGATTCGAAATTTGGGCAGGCTGGTGATACGGTCCAATAAGATTCAATTTCAATTGACTCGGTCATGGAAATCCATAGTAAATGTGAAAAACTTCACAAATGTTAATGTTTTCATAAAACTCTTAATCACACATGTTTTGCTAAGACAGTAGCTTCTTCAGGTGAACTACCTAACTAAACAGTTTATTGTACCTGTATTTCATCTGAAGAAGGTACTGTTTTAGCAAAACATGTGTTAATAAGAATCTTGTGTAAATCTTACCGTTTGTGAAGTGTTTTACATTGAGGTTAGAAAACTTGGGTTATGATTTATAATATCTCACACCGGCAAGGGAAATTGGCGTGATAAATTCGAACACTCAGATGATATAATATATAATGTGATAATATAATGTATGCAATGGAAAACCGTTGATGAATATCTATTCTATCCTATTCTATGATTCATTACTGTTATGATGCCAATAATTCATTTCAGCATATGCAATTTGTATAAGTGGAGATACAAGAATCTGGGAAACTTGAAACACGTAGAAAACTGGATGGAATACAAACTTGCAAATCCAGGATTAGCTTATGATTTTCAGTTGATAGACGTGCAAGATTTCAATGGTATTGGCGAATCTGAACCCAACCCTTATTTTTACCAGGTTTGTGCCTTGCAAGTTAAAGGTGTTTCAACAAGGACCGGTCGATGTTGACAGTGTGTGGCGGCCATGTTTTTTTGGGGGCATCTGTCAAATCTGTTGTATTTTATTCAGTCACTGATGCCAAATTACCATGGCAAGTTACACGATCGAGCAGCATGTCCAAATAATTAAACTTTATTATCGAAATGAGTGTTCGTTAGTGCAAACGATGCGCCCATTTTACGGCAGACGCGGTGGCCCTTCAAAGTCGACTCTCCAAAGTTTGGTAGCCAAATTCGAGACAACCGGTTCGGTAAACAGACACCGAACACTCTTGCGTCAAAGAAACGCCAGATCAGCCGATAATATCGACGCTGTCCGTCAGAGTGTGGAGGAGACTCCGAGGCAGTCAATTTCTCGCCGTGCACGGCCTTTGGCAGACTTCGACTTGGAGAATTTTGCGCCGGGACTTGGGCCTGCACCCGTACAAGATTCAACTGACCCAGCAGCTCAAAGTTAATGACCATAGGCAACGCCGTTTGTTCGCTCAGTGGGCTTCGGAACGTTTGGAAGAAGACCCCAATTTTGGCCGAAAAATAATCTTTAGCGACGAGGCCTATTTTTGGTTGAATGGTTTTGATAATAAGCAAAATTGCCGTATATGGGACGAACACAACCCACAGGAGGTTCACCAGGTGGCAGTGCATCCACAAAGAGTTACTATTTGGTGCGGATTTTGGTCCGGCGAGTCATTGGTCCGTACTTCCTTGAAAATGACGTTGGCGAGGCCATCACCGTGAGCGCTACAGATCAATGATTAACAATTTCTTTTGTCCTGAATTGAACGATATGGACGTGGACGACATGTGGTTCCCACAAGACGGCGCAACGTGCCATACAACGAACGATACAATGGACATTCTGCACGAACGGTTTGAGGGTAGGGTTACCTCTCGCAGAGGTGATGTGTATTGGCCGCCAAGATCGTGCGATTTGACTCCACTAGACTTTTTCTTGTGGGGTTTTCTGAAGTCGCAGGTCTATGTTAATAAGCCGCAATCGGCCGATGCCCTGAAAGTGAACATAACGCAGCTATTACTCAGATTCAGCCGGATTTATGCAGCAGAGTCATTGAAAATTGGACCTCTCGGATCCGTACCACCGTTCGAAGCCGCGGCGGACATTTGAACGATGTCATTTTCCATAAATAATGGCATGAATGGGCCTTTCGAATAAAATAAAAAAATCGTTAATGTCTCACACACAGCTTGTTTTATTCAATTACATCATCGCCCGGTCCTTGTTGAAAGACCCTTTAGAATTATTCTTCTAGATTTTGTGATATTTTTTTTATTAATTTTACACACAGAATCTGGCCGAAGCTGAATATTGTGTAGCTCTGTTCATGTATATGAGACTGATCGGGTATCCAGCAAGCAAAATCACGATTCTCACCACTTATAACGGACAAAAACATTTGATTCGTGACGTCATCAACACTAGATGCGCCGATAATCCTATCATCGGCCGACCCCATAAGGTATGTATATTACACTATATTCCAGTTAAGAGTAAAGTAGGTAGCATGGATAGTATAGCCCGCACCACAGTATTATACCCATTACAAATATGTGAAAATGATTGCAGAATTTAGTGGTGAACCATTCAAAAATGTCTTTGCCTAATATTTTGGATAATACAAAATGGAATCAATTCATTAGTTTCGGAGTAATAGTTGGAATCTTGGTATTTGTGTCTAGTGGACATGGATGCCATTCACGGAAAAACCATATACAGGGTGTTTCAAGATTTAGTATCAAGATTTCAGAGGCGCACTGCATTCATTTTTTTCTATAGACATGTGTCTGCTTCGTTACCGATCTAGAGTGTTGAGATTTCAAGATTCTTTCTTTTTTTTGTATGAATGATAAATTGATATTCATCATAAAGGACTTGGAAAGAAGTTCTGAATTGAGGAAACCTAATCACGAATCTGCGATTGAGGTCTATAAAAATAACAAGTTTCGATCGTTCAAGTTTGAACCCCTTGATTGGGTGAAAGTATTGAAAAGTGATGATCAGAAACGTTAGATATTTCTTGAATAGTCCAATAAATAAAGGGAAAAAGTTAACATTGATTACGCACTATTTTCATCTTCCGGTTGGAAGTACCTTTTGGTACCTCATTAAACTTGAGACAAAGTTTGACTGGAAAACGCGTGAGATTGCGGAGAAAATGGCCCCAAAAAACCAGGAAAATAGGTTTTCAGCCAATATCTCCTAAAATATGGCAGTTAGAGATTTTCGGTTCAGATAAAAATTAAAGTTCAGTTAATTTTCTACAAAAATGGTCCCTATCATTTTTCTCGAAAATTTGCCCGGTTTCGAGAAAAACGCCACGAAGCGCACCTCGAATAATGAGCTTCTGTGTTGTATGCCGGAGAGCACAGTCCGTGTATTTACACATCGGCGGGGGGACAAATTATTCAATAACTTTGTTGAAAATGCATATTTTCTCATGATTCAAAGTTCATGTGAAAGAGGAATTCTGCTGCTATCATACCCTGCGAATTGAGTCACGCTTGACTCTTCTGGCCATATCGGAACATGGGTCAAACTTTCTGCTTCCGGTCAATTTTGACCTCGCCAGGAATTTGTTCCTATTTTTTTGTATTGCACTAATTTACTCAGAATTCTCTTGATTATGGGCCCTAATTTTTTTTAATTTTCATTTAATCTTTGTTTATTGAATCCCAATTTTTTGCTGTTTTTGGAGCGCGGGGAAATTTTATGAACAACCATCAATTAAAAATTTATACATGATCCGATTGGTTTCTATGATACATCATTTGAAAGCTAAGAAGGTCTACTTTTCGATTGTGTAATTACTTTGTTAGACGAAGTCGTCCATTTTTCAATAAAATTAGAAAAAGCGGGGTCAAGGAAAAAACGCACTTTTCGGTGTTTTTTTTCTCCGTGCTCTTTATTTCTAACATTTTAACACCTTAACTAGTGTAACGGGGGAATTCCCACCTTTCCATCGATGTATATAAGTCATACCTTTGATATCCCGGGAAAAAACCAGTATATCTAAATGTACACGCTATAATTTATTACTTTCGTTCCTCCGTCGTTCGCCGCGTGTGTGCTCTACGTGGCGCTCGGGTCGTCTGCTACAAACCATGCGGCCACGCAGGGTATGATAGCAGCAGAATTCCTCTTTCACATGAACTTTGAATCATGAGAAAATATGCATTTTTAACAAAGTTATTGAATAATTTGTCCCCCCGCCGATGTGTAAATACACGGACTGTGCTCTCCGGCATACAACAGAAGCTCACTATTCGAGGTGCGCTTCGTGCCGTTTTTCTCGAAACCGGGCAAATTTTCGAGAAAAATGATAAGGACCATTTTTGTAGAAAATTAACTGAACTTAAATTTTTATCTGAACAGAAAATCTCTAACTGCCATATTTTAGGAGATATTGGCTGGAAACCTATTTTCCTGGTCTTTTGGGGCCATTTTCTCCGTCATCGCACGCGTTTTCCAGTCAAACTTTGTCTCATGTTTAATGAGGTACCAAAAGCTACTTCCAACCGGAAGATGAAAATAGTGCGTAATTAACGTTAGCTTTGCCTTTTTTTCCTCCTTCATTTATTGGACTAGAAGGGTTGATTCCACAATTTTATCGGATGTTTTGATTTTTTTGGAAGAAGATGAACAATTCAATATTTTGTTTAAAATCTCAACCAATTCCTGTATAAAATTCGTGTTTTCATTTCTTAACGGGAATGTAACATAGGATGTATATATTTCGTCACTTTTGAAGCTTTGAAAGCTCAGATGAGATAAAATTTTATTTCCTCAACTAGGAGTACAAAGTCTATATCTCACTACCACAACCCTTTTTTGGAATAGTTCACAGCATGTTTCTCTGTGTGGTACTTGAATAAATTCATCAGAGTAAGTAAGCCTGCCAATTTGCGGACTAAAATTGTTTAGAGATAGTGACATTTGTGAGGGTGATATTTTCCATGATTAATTTTCCCAAAGATTTCTTCAGAATGAACTAGCGCCAGGAGTATGGGACATTTTTATTTCATATCTGTTTCCTTTTGTTCTTTCAATAGTATCATATTTTTTTCATTTTTCCCATGTTCTTCTTCCAGTATTTTACCAAATTTACAAATCCAATAGGAAGAAAAATGAAATTTCGTATTGTACAATGAAAATGAACTTTTATTCTTATAGGTAACTACTGTTGACAAATACCAAGGTCAGCAGAACGATTACATATTACTGTCCCTTGTCAGAACAAGAGCAGTAGGTCACTTGAGGGATGTCCGGCGTCTTGTAGTCGCCATGTCACGTGCTAGATTAGGGCTCTACATTTTTGCCAGAGTGTCTTTGTTCAAGAATTGCTTTGAGTTGACACCAGCATTTGAACAGGTACAATCATAAAACAATTTTTGAAAACATATTGTTCATGTGTCCTTTTTTCTTCAGCTTACAGCAAGACCCACCAAGCTGCACTTGGTCTTGAATGAATTATATCCTACAAGGAGGTTCAACAATCAGAGACCTTCTGCTAAACCAATGGTTGTACAGGATATGACCCATTTGGCAAATTATGTGTATGAGTTTTATGTACAGAGGGCGAAACAACTCAAGCAATTTTATAATGTAAGTGATAAAAAAAGTGAACATAATTTTAATGAGTGAAAAAGTATTATTACTTAATTTTTTATATTGAGTACTAACAGTAGTGACAGAACTGACAATGAGACCAAAATTTTCCTCCAAGGTAACCTATAGTTCTTTGACTTTGAAGTAATAAGATCTACAGGTTTCACTTCTTTGTCCCATTGTTTGGTTCTCACAGTTAATTTTTCAGCCACAGCTTTACACTGCTTCAATCTGATTCTAATGTTATCCATATTTCTTCTCACAGATGCCATTTCTGAAGTAGAAAAATCTTCTGGAATTACATTCTTCATTATGTATGTCAATCCTGCATCCATGGCTAGTAGTTGTTTGATAACTGTTAATAGTTCTGTGGCTACATCTAAGTTAGTGTACACTTGAGCCAAAGGAACAATATGTAATGATTTTGGGTGGAATGGATGCTTGTGGAATCTGTGAATACCTGCCAGAATTCTGTAACGCTGGTAGGGTAATTTGATGCCTATTGTCTTTAGATCATACTCAGACATGGTTAAAAAGTCACTCAAAGTAGTTTTACTGTCAACAAAAACTTTAATTGTAGATTCACTCTTCACACTGCGCAGGAAATTACAGATATCCAAAAAGAAATCAGGTGTTTTTCCTTCATTTTGCAAAAAGATCTCTTCATAGGAATGCAGGGTGGTATTTGTTACAGTGGAGAGGATGTCAGTTTCCTCTTGTGGAAACAATTCCACTATTTTCATGAAATCATTATTTTTAGCCAAAGCCAGTGGAGTGATATTTCTGACATCAGGTACAGTGTACTCCAGACCTTCTTGCAGCAAGTACTCCACTACACCAATGCTATTTCCATTGACAGCCCAAAATAGGGCAGTCCATCTCTGATTGTCCTCTGCATTTTTATTTGATAATGGCAATAGGTATTTGACTGCTGGTAAATTTCCCACATTTGCAGCAAACATAAGGGCTGTCATCCTTTTTCTGTTGATTGCATTCACGTTTGCACCATACTCAACCAACATTTCAATTACTTTTAAAGATTCTCTAAATGGTGATGTTTCTTTTGGGCAGTTGCAGGACATCATAAGGGCAGTCAGGCCATCTCGGCGATTATTTACATCAGCTCCGCGTTTGAGGAGTTCGCTTGTGATTTCTGCATTGCCAAATGAAACTGATAGTAACAATGGTGTCCAGTTGTCTTCAAGATTGACATTGATTTCTAAGCCATTGTCTAGGTATTGGATTACCAGTTCCTTATTTCCACTGCAAACAGCAGAATATGTAGATTTCTTTTGCTGTTCTAATTTTTCAGCTTCAGTTAGGATTGTTGGTTGTGAGTTCATGCTTTTTATTCTCTTCTTGAAGTCATAGTAATCACAGTCATCAGAAAAGTGGTCTTCATCACTGTCGTAAAAATCGGGACAAACAGCCATTTTGCTGGCCTTTGTGACCAGTGAATTTTAATTATTAATGGAACAGTTGATTACAATAGATCTTCTGAACAAAATTATACTATGATGGGAAACGAAAAATAAAGACGGTTTCTAAATTTTTTTGAGGTTAATTACGTTTTCTTCTTCTCTATTCGTTCTGTCGTCTTCCTGTTTTGTCCAGCTTACAGATCAACACACTGCCAGTTTCTGATACAGGGTGTTTGTTTTTTAGGCTGACAACAAGTGGAAAAAACCGGGCGATGTTGATATTCATTCACACGAAGGATTTGTTTCGTCTCATCCTGGGGAAGACAGAGATTCAGACAGTGATGATGAAGATTCTGGTAAACAGTTGCCGGTTCCTATTCAAGAAGAACCTTTAGATGATCAACCTGTAGAAGTTGTTCAGAGACCGGAACAGATGATGGATACGTCAGAATCAACAGAAGTTCAACAAGTGTTAGAATCAACAGAAGTTCAGCAAGTGTTAGAATCAACAGAAGTTCAGCAAGTGTTAGAATCAACAGAGGTTCAACAACTTTTGGTGCCAACAGAAGTTCAACAAGTCCCAGACCCAAATGAAGGCAGTTCTATGGACGTTAGTGATCATGAAGCTTGTGATGAAGAAATGGGAGAACAGGAACAAGAAATTGACACTGGAGAAGCTGAAAATGATGAATAATTGTAATCTATAAAAAATAAATATTTTTTATGAAACTATCCAATTTTGTAATAATTTTCAACACCAACCATATTCAGCTAAATGAAATATTTTCCTACAGAGGATAAAAGTGAAAAATCGAACTTTATTAATGAAAAACATGAACATACAAATTTGAAATTATATTTTTTCTAATACTTAAATTATATTTCATTCCTTAAAGTATATCTCAATTCCAATATTGATTATTGGAAATAAAGATGAGAATTGACTAAAGACTATGTTTCTTTAAAGATTTCTCCTCCAAAGAATATATAACAGTCTGTTGTCTGGAATCCTTGGATGTATTCCTGCATTCTTCTGCATTATCTTCATGGTTGGATTTCACATCTAAGATTTTCTCTTCCAATTGTACTTTTGTTATGGTTTCATCTGAGCTATCTTCATCAGTTTCTAAATCTTCCTCATCCAAGTCATCATCCATCCTACAGGTAATAAATCTTATGGTCATTTGGGTAAAATCCAGGAAAAGATACAGTTTTCATACCATCAATACAATCTTTCTTTTCAACTGTTGTTATGAAACATTAGAACTTACCATAGCTTGGGTTTCTTCTTTGGAACAGGTTTTTCATCAGTGGCTTTCCTTTTTGAACTACTAGAAGCCTCAAGGCCTTGAAGGACAGCATCTTCAACTACTTCAGGAAGAACTGACCTTTCCTTATCATATTCTTCATCTTTGAATTCATGTCTGGGTTTCTCACATAGCCTCTCCAGCTTTTTTTTCTTTCGTTCTTTAGCTTCCTTCTCCCTATCAGCTTGTTGACCAATCCAATTTTTCAGTCTGAGAATGAATAAATAATACAATGTATTTGAGTATATAAACTGCAAATTATGATCAATGATAGCTAACCTTTGTTCTTCATTGATATCTCTCAACCTTCTTCCACTCAAATCTCGGCAAGCTTCTCTGTTTGTAGTTTTTTCTATTTGAGCCCCTATTGCTCTCAACATGGAGCCAAATCCGCCTTTTCCACCATATACACGAGGAATGACATGAACAATCCCACTGTTGATGCTGGAATCTCTCCTGAAGATTTTGCCATCATGAATCAAGTAATAATCGCCAGAATGTAGGCCCTGGAAAATATTCATTATACCAGAACGACCAGAACATAGAAAAATCATTTATCAAAATTACCCAAAGTGACTGCAGCTGGTTCTCGAATTCTAATCCAGTTATAGTATCTCGCACCTCAACACTGTGACTATCCAATGTAAGATTCATTTTATTATCAGATTGGTAATAACTATAAAATTTATTAATCACCTGCAGATAAAAAATAGTTCATATAACCTCAAACTTGCCCGAAACCCTAAACAAAAGATACTGTCTACAGTGTCTACACAACCGCCGCGGCGGTTGGATGGAATGAATAGACCGGTGTGAATCTGGCTGCCTAAGCTGGCTGCTAAAATTTCCGAACTTACCCGACAGACAATACCAGTGGCGGGCGATAATTTTATTCAATAAAAATGTTATTTTACTAAAATGAATCAATTACATGGAAGCTTCATGATTTGATTACTCATATTGAATAGAATTTGGACTCACACATGCATATGATATCAGATGAATAAAACATCAATACCTCGTATTATGTTGACTTCACACTGGTTAAAATGTTATTCTCCAGAAAGATTCATACCTGCTCAGCCCGAAAAAAAATCTTTCTTGATCATCTTCATTCCATATAATCAGATTTAATATTTCGATCAAACCACATTAAAAATTTCAGAGATTATTATACAGAGATTGTACTAATTATTCTACTACATTCATTGAATCTTGGATCTTGGAAAATCGGGAACTATTATTTTTACTCGATTTTCGAAAAAAAAAAATCGTTTTCTCCAAAACGCACCGGACTGTCAAACTGAAACTAGCGCAGAAGTCTTCTACTATATCCATAAAATCTCATTCTGCAAGAAAATCCACTTGCTCAGCCTGCGGAAAATGGAAAACTATTATTTTCACTCGATTTTTAGAAAAAAAAATCGTTTTCCTTGAAACGCACCAGACTGTCAAATTGAAACTAGCGCAGAAGTCTTCTACTATATCCATAAAATCTCATTCTGCAAGAAAATCCACTTGCTCAGCCTGCGGAAAATGGAAAACTTTTATTTTCACTCGATTTTTACAAAAAAAAAATCGTTTTCTCCGAAACGCACCAGACTGTCAAACTGAAACTAGCGCAGAAGTTTTCTACTACATCCATAAAATCTCATTCTTCAAGAAAATCCGCTTTGTCAGCCTGCGGAAAATGGAAAACTATTATTTTAACTCGATTTTTAGAAAAAAAAGTCGTTTTCCTTGAAACGCACCAGACTGTCAAATTGAAACTAGCGCAGAAGTCTTCTACTATATTCATAAAATCTCATTCTGCAAGAAAATGCACTGCTCAGCCTGTGGAAAATGGGAAACTATCATTTTCACTCGATTTTCGAAAAAAACTCGTTTTCAGCTCGGCAATAATCTATCTCTTCAGTTTTTTAAACTACTTTTTATGTTCTACTTCTTCTTAATTCGACAAAGTATCTATACGAACGCGTGTTCAATTGATTTTTCAAACAACTATTTATTGCAAAGCTCGTTCGCCATATTGGATCCGCCATCTTGAATATCCCAATTTTGACAATAAATCATAAAGTTTGACCCTGAAAGCCCCCAGATACCAAACTTCAATAAAATCAGATCATAATTAGAAATGTCTTTCGCCATATTCGACCCGTAATCCTGAATTTTTCAATTTTAACGAAACAATAATTATCTCCTAATATTCAAATTTCTTCGTATACTTCTAGTCTCGTCGTTGAATAATTAATTGAGTTAAAAATATCTTCAGTACCTATCCTTGTATAGTCTGGCATTATTATTGAAAGAAGTGGTCGAAGAGAAATAAAGTATAGGTACCTATATACTTATTTATTTTTAGTACGTCATCAAGTATTTATACCTACTTAGAACGATCTTAGAACCAAAAAAACCCGCATAAATCCACAAACAAATGTAGACCTCAATCTGCTGAACGAATATTACTGTTCAATAGCTAATCAATTAACTCTAGATATTTTTCCAATAGAGGATGCCCTTGCGAATATGAAGAAAATGGTATCTTCGATAGAGTCTCTTTCATTGTATGAGACAGATTTGAAGGAACTTAAGCTAGTAATCAGCGAAATGAAAAATAAAAGTTCTCCAAAGGGACCCTAGGTATAGTTATGGAAAGAGAATTGAACGCCCTTCAAAATGTGCCACTTGACCCCCCTTCGCTTTTGAGATTCCAAGGGTAACATCTACCCCTTCTAGGGTGTTGAAACAAAAGGGGCTATAACTAATCAATTCAAGTGTCAAGAGCTACGGAGTTAAGCCTTCGTAAACACTTCATCATCAATAATGACTACTTTTAGGGCTCTTGATCAATTTCCTTGGACATGTCAGTGGAGGAGAATTCAACGCCTCGTAAGGGTTTAACTTCCCAAACATTTATGCCACTGGAGAAATTGTAATTTTCAAAGTAGATTCTGAAGCGCCAATATATCTTTCACACAAAAAACGTCCTCTTGTCTCAATGCTCTGAAGTTAACAGTTTCCGAGAAAAATGACTCTTTATGAATAAGAACATAATATATAAAATTCTGATGGTATCTCCAAAAATTGTCTGAAAATCCACTGGAAATAAACACCTCAGAACTGTATAATAATATGTTCAATCAAATGTCAGGTTCTTGAGTATGCTGATCTCGATGCCGGTATTCAAATTATTGAGTTCATTAAGTGTTGTGAAGTGTGTTTGATTAAACTGAACATTTTTGATTTCTTGATGCCCTGTATCTTTAAAATGGAAGCCTGGAGAAAAATTTCGAAGAGGAAAGAAATATTTCGTTTATTATGAGGAATCTACAGTTTCCTGTTGTGACACTTATTTGTTAACACCCTGTATAAATATTATGTCAATGAATGTATTTCTCTGAAATTAATATTGGAATTTAAAGCTCCAACGAACACTTGAAATGTCGTCTCGTCTTTGGGCGAATCAAATAAATAAAGGGCGTCAATTGAGATGTTCGAGGCACTCTACCTGAAAGAAGATCTCCTCATTTTGCTATAAAATTTTATTGAAAATTTGTCTTCATGTTGTATACAAATAGTCGTTAACTCAGAATTTTCGCCGATACTCCCAAAAATCACGTGTCTGGAACGGAAATCATCATCTCGCTCTTCTTATTCTCTGGATTTTGAAAGTCACCTGGTACTATCTCAGTATTATCATACTCCCCGTTAGCGTGCGCAGACTGACCTGCCGTTTGCCCATGAGGCGCCGAATGGACCAATCTACCGATAAGAGAAGGCCTATCCTTTCGCAACCTCAACCAATCATGTTGCATCACCCTGTCCAGGGTGAGTCTCTGAGTCAGATCTGGTTCCAGCAGATGCCGCACCAGAGATTTAGCGCTCGAAGACAGCGTGTCTCTCACCCTCGATCTGAATACCCAGTTTTTCGTCATTTGGTCTTTCAGCAGCTTCCTTAGATTAGAGTCGTCGAAAGGCATGGATGCATTGAGCATTATGAACATAATTATCCCTAGAGACCACACATCTGACAGCTTGGGGTTGTAGGGAGTTCCATTGACCACTTCAGGTGCTGCGTAAGCTGCAGACCCACAATATGTCTGGCTCAGTATTCTTCTGTTGTCGGAGTCTACGCAGAATCTGGCGAAACCGAAATCAGCGAGCTTCACGTTGAATCGTCTGGACAGCAGGATGTTTTCGCATTTGAGGTCTCTGTGGGCGATGTTCTTGCCGTGGAGATAGTGCAGGCCGCTGGCCATCTGTCTGAACCAAATTTTTCCTTGCTGCTCAGGAACTACTCCGTTCTTCTTGATGAAGTCCAAAAGATCACCATTATCAGCATACCTTGGGAATAGTATACGTATCAGAAGCTGATCGTCAACACACAGGGTGAATGTGTACAAGGGACAAGGGTATACGCACTTAGTGAATGGAGTTTGTTACTCTTTTGATTTGAAAAAATGTCAACTAGATTTAGTATCAAGACAAAACTCATTGAGTAGATCATTACACAAGCATAAGTAAGATAAGTTTCTGATAAATGTCATGATAAAAATCAATGATGTATTTTTTTAAGGCAGATGTGAACTTTCCTTTTTTTTTTTGTGATTTTTTCCATCTCTTGGAGCGCACGAGAGGAAATGCCTATATAATGCTGTGTGCACGAGTATGTACTTTGGTGATTGATGTAAGAGTGTGAAGGGATTTTTAAGCTCGAACGATCAGGAAAATCATGAAGAATATTTTAAGATGACTTTTATTATGATAACTGATCCTCATTAAAAGAAACATATCATGATTCGCATTCTGAGAATACATGCGTCAACTTATCTATTTATGAAATGACAAAATAGGCAAACCTATTTCACAAGAGACAAATTATGCTTCACACTTGAATAAATGTGCACTATCCTAACCATGTAGTGCATTCTTATACACTTTTACCCAATAGGGTACTGTGTCTTCAGAGAAAATGTCGCGGTGGGATCGCTCTTACTGCAGCCGTGATTTAGACAGTTGACACCAACCATGTGCAACATGTTCACTGAAGATAAGTTCCAGAGGTTAGTCAATCAATTAAAGTTCATCAAATGAAATCGTAATCGAAAAATTTTTTGGAGAACGGGAAAAGGATTCCTAAAATCATTTCCTGTTGGAATAATCGATCTAAAACATTTGAAAGTTTTGTTGGCAGATAACAGTAGGAGATCCCGCTGCAAATTTTGACCGTCATATCTGATGAAGAAATGTAATATGTTCCAAAAGGCATGAAGAAACATATTGTATTTTATCGAACGGCACCTGTACCTGTGCCAATCACACTATTCCGGACATCCTTCGTCATGTGATAACAAAAGTTTTTTAGAAACAAAAAGTAAATAGAAGCGGATAATCTCCACTTTGCGAATATCCTAACTTGCCGCTACTCAAACTGCTCTAAGTAAGTGGCAGAGCGTCAATATTTCTGAAGATATTTTGCCCCTGTCGAAAGATAATATCCGATGGACTAGTCTAAAATTCATGTGGTGCTCGTACTATAAGTATTTTTATGCACTTCAGGGATTTAAACGGTACTTAATCCCTATTTCGAGAGAAAAAAGTGGTACTTAAATCCCTAGGGCTATGAACTTTTTGTCTCGGGATTCAAAATACCACTTCAGTACCTAGGTGTATAATGTTCTATTATCCACATGTTGTTTAACACCGGTCCATGGAATATAATCCTTAGCGGGGCGAAATACTCTCGGAAATATTGACGCTCTCTGCCACTAATTTATTAGATGATTGATTGGCTCAGATTGAGGGGATTGGCACAGGTACGTTTTTGAGATCCTCCATCCAATTGGTATGATTTTTAAGTGCAATTTTTGTATCATTTTGCTCAGGATAGTGATTGGCACAGGTGCCATTTGATAAAATAAGATGGTTCTACATGTCTTTGGAACATACCTATCATTTCGTTATCAGATGACGGTCTACAATTGTAGCCTGATCTTTGACTAAGTTCTTTTATGTTTTTATTACTATGGTTCTTAGAATTTTTGCTGTATAGATCAACGAACATGTTTGAATGAAATATTGAACGTAGATTCACTATAGTTTTCACTAATCTGATATCTATTTATTTTCCTTTGTGTTCATGAAAAACTATTTCATTGTTTTGGAACAGGATTTATTTAATTTTCCAAATATCCTATGAAATTGGTTACTTCCTCCTGGTAACCGTGGTAATGGGAAATGATCTGGTTTATCTGCCACATTGTAGGAGGAACTAGGTCACTGGATGGTATCAATTTGATAAGAGTTCGGACACAGCTGAACTTTTGTCCTTTTCTATTTTCTATAATACAATGGTTCAAGTGATTAAAAGAATAAGACATATATTCTGCTCTTTGTCTTTTCAATTTCCCTAGTAGCGCCTGATTGTCAGATACGATTTTAGAGGTTATATTTTCTGTCAAATCAATCAAACCGTAGATGGACAATGGAAATAGGGTACAAACACTTAACTTATATCTATAATTCCTCATTGTATGTGAAACTGTACTCCAGTATATGATAAATATAAAGCATGAAGATATATCAATATTAAATTAAAGGTAAGTATTCTCAATATACAGAAAGTATAACATAAGTACGTTCAAGTGAAGTATTCCTGAGACAATTTTAAGAAATAAATAAGTCTATATAAGCTTGTGTCCGAAAATGCTTCATTTTGGAGATACAAGTACAGATAACAAATCATTTTTCGATAAATATTTCATAGGAAAAAAGTAGTTCATTTTGACGAGACCTACCACATACTTGGTTTTGTAAAGTTTTCAGCAACTTCACTTAGTGCCCTAGGAGCTAAAAGTAACATGGATCGATATAGAAAATTGTAAATATCTCCAAAACGATAACCACCAGCGTAATAAAGCCCCTTTATAATAATTCTCTTGATACATCAATAACTATTCACTTTTCACTGTTAAATTTTGAATTTGGTCGTTACCAAAAACGCCATTCAATATAATATATCACGTTGTAGTTTACTTGCTTTTATTAGTTTCGTTTTCAAATTTTCAATTTCATTATGTAATTTTGCGATCAATTCCCTCTTTTCCATGATTATTTTGTTCTGTTTTTTGTGTGATAATAATAATGGAAATTTGTTCTTGAAATCGTCTGCTTTGTAAATTGATGGAACAGCAGATTCTCTCAAACATACTTTGAAATCTTCTGTCGTTTGAAAATGGGCCTAAAATACAGTTTCATTCTAATTAGATGTTGTTATAAGAAGTGAATTTTAATGAGTACCTCACAAATTTTGCTCGTCTTCAAATTTATTTTCCACCCATGCCGTTTCATGTCTTCCTTCCATAAGCGAATGGTTGATATTTGTTTTGGAAAATTGAATAAATGATATCCATTTTTTTCAGAATTGGCACAATTCATTACACAGCAAGTGATTTCCATAACTGCTTATTTCTCGAAAGTATAATTATGAAATTTTATTTTGACTCTGACGTTTATAAAATTTATTGTCAAATTCAAACAATTTCGAATGAAATAGCGCGGGGCGACTATGGTGCTCTTGTCACAATGCAAGGTGTAACTTGATGAATATAAACATTCAAAAACCCTATAGCCGTTGTCATTTCTGTGTCCGAACTCTTATCAAACTAATACCATTCAGTGACTAGGAGGAACTTACCTCATGAAAATGAATACCCTCGGCCCCCTTTGCAAAATGCTGTGGACCTGTATGATGTGTGGATTCTCGATTTTCGTAAGTATCTCTAGTTCCCTAGGAAAGAACTTCTCTAGGAAATCCTTCGGCGCTTTTTCCTTGTCGAAGATTTTGCACGCCAACCGCATCTTCTTTGGCCCCGTACTGTCGACATAATCGGCGAGGTGCACGGTAGCATAGGACCCCTGCCCAATTTTCTTCCCAATCAGATATCCTCTTTGTTCTAATGCATTTACTTCGGAATTTCGTGGACTCAATCGAGTCGCCATGTGAGGTTTTTTAGTTATATGAAAGTGTTTCTTTACCGCTGAATTTTCACGCGATCCATCCAGGCAAATCGTTGGCGCACATCAACCTACGTAAATTTTCTTTCAACTTCCTTTAAAAGTATTGCACAACATGGATTTTGACTACAAAAATTTGGGGAAATGACAACTTGTGTACTGACAGGACAAAAATTATTTATCCCAAAGTCACTTGATGTTCCTTCATACCAGCAAAGCACAGAGTGGTCTACAATACCTAACCGTATAATAATTATCTATTTATATTGTTATTTCCAGCTTCATTATGATCATAATATACATTTTCGCACTCTTGCAGAGCTGATAGATTCTTGTAATAAGATCCATGACCAAACTGGTTCAGAATAATGGTGGGTGTTGGTTAAACTTTCCAGATAAGCCAAAACATGAAAGCAGAGTTCAGAAACTCAACCGGGTCTATAAGACTCCAATTGTATTATAGTATTCCAGAATTCATTGAAGAAAAAACATAGGAGTTTTAGGAGTAGTGCAAGGTATCAATAAATGTTAGACCTAGAACCTTTTATTTGAATTTTGGTACAAAACAGCATGATGGGACAAATCAAATTTTTCAAAAGAAGTGATTGCACCTGTTGAACGGTTTATATTCCTTCATGGGAATCCTAAGCATTCTACATTCTCTGGCCATTTTGAGGGCGACGAGAAACATAATCGTGCTCTTGAAGATATCCCAGTAGTATCTATTTTGATAGATAGCTGTTACCAGATCTATTGGCGAGAAAGTGTAATCTATGTCCTCCTGCTTGGTATATGTATCTTCATCATCTTCTTCACTATCAACTGTGATGGTTGTGCCGGGTTTCTGAGCATCTTCATCCGGAGTGGAATCTGGAACTTCTGATACATCTGTAGTAGCATCTGGTTCATGTTCATCTTTCGTGTAGTCTTCTTCAGTGGCTTCTTCCTCAGACATCGTTATGAAATCGGTTCGCCCATCTACAAATTGGTTTGAGGAAAAGACAAAATTCACATACTTGAGCTCTACTGCTGAGTTAATTTGGCATTCTTGTCAGATCTGGAATTTCAAAGAATGACATTATCGAATTTCTTGTTACGGTGATATACTGGGAGATCTTCTCACTAGAAAATAAAAAAGTTAGGACCCGAAGATAATATCGTATGATGAAGCCCATTGAAGTATTTTTCTTTATGTATGATCCCGGATAATCATTTTTTATACCCCCGTCTATCTCAGTTGGGACTAGATTAGAACAAAATAGCGACTGTATGTCATTACTGTTGCTAAATATTCAATCTTTACGCAACAAAGCTGATGAGCTAAATATATTTCTGGAACAGCAAAATTTGCCTGATGTTGTCCTTTTGACAGAACATTGGCTCAAAGTTGATGAACCAATTTATATGCCTGGTTATTTTATCATGTCAAAATATTGCAGGATAAATTCAATGCACGGAGGAACTTTGATAATGATTAAAACAGAGTTCTTGAAAACTTTAACTTTTGCGAACATTAACAGATATGACGATTTGATTGTGGAAAAAGAATTCGAATTTTCAATAATTCACTCACAACATAGTAATGTCTATATAGTGTGTGTCTATAGGCCACCTTCATCAGAGCATAACATATTTATGGAAAGACTGGAATATTTATTAGCAAAATTGCCCCCCTTCGCATCAAAAATTTTAGCTGGAGACTTCAATATACATTATGAAAACAAAACATGCAATAAAACCCAAACACTCACTAACTTGTTAGACTGCTTTAATCTAGTTATGCATGTAGATAGTCCCACCCGTATATCTAATTATTCATCGAGTATTATAGATTACGTCTGTACAAACATCGAGGATGTATCGACCTCAGTAATTAATCCAGGTCTATCTGATCACGAAGCAGTTTTCTGTATCATCCCCAACATTCTTAAAGATGCAACCATTAACCAGGGCAAAAAGTATGGACGAATATATAGCAGAAAAAACTATGCACATTTTCTGAATCTCTGTCAAGCCACATATTGGGATTCTATAAATGAAACAGAAGATCCAGTTAACGAATTTCAGAAACTTGTTTGTGAAAATTTCGATAAAGCATTTCCGCTGCGCTTGTTGAAACGGAAAAAATCCAAACTCTGGTTCACTAAAGGACTAAAAATTTCCTCAAAAAATCTAAGATGCCTGCATACCATTAGAAAATTTCATAGTGACAATATATTTCTTATTTCATACTTCAATAACTTTCGTCGTATTTACAGACAAACTATCAAATTAGCCAAAGATCTCTATTATACTGACCGACTGAATCAGGCAGGTAATAAACCAAAGGAAATGTGGACAATAATAAACGACTTGAGAGGTAATAAAAAACAAAATCAACCGGAAATAAAGATCAACTTAAATCATTTGAATGAATATTATTGTTCAGTAGCATCAAAAATAACCAAAGATATCATACCAATAGTTGATCCACTTCATAATTTGAACAAGATGAGCTCTCCTATGGACTCCCTTTTTTTGTATGATACATATTTGAGAGAACTTAAATCTGTGATAATAGAAATCAAAAATAAAAACTCTGCTGGTGAAGACAACCTCTCAGCAAAGCTGCTCTTTCAATTGCCGGATGAAGCTCTTGAAGCCTTAGTAACAGCTATAAATACATCGTTTACCACTGGTGTGTTTCCTTCACGCTTAAAATCTGCGAAAGTGTTACCACTCCACAAAGGAGGTGCCATTGATGACCCTAGTAATTACAGACCGATCTCAATTCTATCAACGTTATCAAAAATCATCGAAAAACTAGTCAAACGCAGGATGGTGGGCTTTTTGGAAAAGCACAAGATTTTAACTCCCGTACAATTTGGTTTCCAATATGATAAAAATACGACAGATGCCATTTTTAATTTACTTGAAAACATTTACACAACTCTAAACGACAAGGAAGTGGCTGCGGCAGTATTTCTGGACTTTTCTAAGGCGTTTGATTGTGTGTGTCATGAGATCCTCCTGCAGAAACTTTTCCATTATGGATTTCGGGGAACAACATTAGAATGGTTCAGATCTTATCTCACTGGTAGAAGCCAAAAAATATCTCTGAACAATAATACTTCCGAAAGTGGAAAAATAGTAAACGGAGTTCCTCAAGGGTCAGTCTTGGGCCCAATTTTATTCTTGCTGTATGTTAACGATCTGGCTAAATTGGATATATCTGGAACATTCACCTTATTTGCGGATGACACCACGGTATTTTGGCGTAATGGAGATCCGGCTATTTTGTCTCGAACTATACACTCTGATTTAGAAAAAATAAAAAATTGGTGTGAATCGAATATGTTGTCGCTGAATTTTTCTAAAACAAATCTGGTCACATTTAAGTGGGATTTGGATCAGGTAACTTTAGGTTGTCAGACGGTTGAAAGTAAGCTTGTAACGAAATTCCTCGGTATATTTATTGATAGTAATTTAAAGTTTGACACACAAATTAATGCACTGAAAAAGAAATTGTCTTCTGGTTGCTTTGCCGTGAATGTCATATCTCGTGAACTCGGATTTTCAGCTTCAATGACCGCATACTATTCACTCATGGAGAGTCATCTTAGGTATGGAATTCCATTTTGGGGCTCTGCCTGCCAGGTTTTATTGCAAAGTATATTCGTCATTCAAAAAAGGGCTATAAGAATAATATTCAAAAAGAAATATTCGAAATTTTCATTATAGAGACTGTTTGCTTGCTCCACAAACATAAAGAAAAGTTCTTGAATCGAGCAGAAAGGCATACACGAAAGGAGATGATACTTGTCCTTCCACTCCCCACATCAACTTTGACCAAGCATTCTCAAATCTATAGAAGTAGACAGATATATAATCATTTACCGAAACAAATAACAGCAATCAATGATCAGAAGCAATTTAGGAAATCAGTAAAAAACCTTGTGATGGGAAAGTGCTTTTATAGTTTGGAAGAGTATTTTGCATATAAGTTCTAGTCTCTCTATATAAATGTTACTATCTACATCAAGATTTTAATAAACTGTAGTTGTGAAAGCACGTGTGTACCGTACCGTATTATACCCTTTGTGTAAATATTTTTTTTAGTCTTGTTTCTTTTACAATAGTTTGTTTTTTATATATATGTTATACCTTTGTCGACGAAATGTAATACATTTTAGACAATAAAGATTATTCTCTCTCTCTCTATGTTAGCAATCATCGAAATTGGGGAAGTTTTAGTCACAGCACCATAACTCTGTTCAAGTTCAAGGCAATATGGCTCTATTTTATAGATATTTTCATGGACGATGATCTTCTGAAATATCAACAATTGTTCCTACCTTGGCAGTCCCCACGAGATTAACCCGTCGAGTTGAGGCTTCGCACCCCTTCGTGGTCACTTTGGAGACCTGCAGAACATCTATTTCCAAAGACTCGTTCATCCAACGAACAGCGAGGCTCTGGAACACATTGCCAAAGGAGGTGTTCCCCGAGGCATATAACCTCCAGAAATTCAAGAAGAACACCAATTCCTACCTTACTTCCCTTGGTTCTCACGATGTTCTCTGAACATTACAGGATATCCCTTTTCGTGGGAACCAGAACATAAAGAAAGTACCTAGTCCAATGCCTATAGAAGAGAAACAAACAATGAAAATAGTTATTCATACACGAAAGTAGTACATACATACTATACCATTATGACCCAGGGACCAAGATTGTATCCCGAGGCTTCAGCCAAGGAGTATAAGGTCCTGGGTAATAATTTTTTATTCACTACCAAGGTGTATATTGGATTTTTTCAAATACTAGCAATATATTTCGATAAAAAACAGTGGCGTGCCATTTTTTAATTTAATAAAATTATATTATTTTCATTAAATTATAGAGAAATTTATCCTCTTTCAAAACATATAGAAATTCATATACAATCACATTCGATTTTTGTGAAAAAACTCAAAAATTCCAGTTAACGCCATCTAGCGGCGACAGCAAAAGTCAAAAATCCAAAACCAAATAAGCGATCTGTAGGGCAAATTATGCTCTTTCATATTACCCTGCGTTTGCTAAAATTGGTCGAAATAAACGGGAGAAATCTTGGTTTGTTTGAAAAAACACTTGAACTTCCCCCACCGCTTTATTTTGATAGCTAGAACAAAACGTTTCAGAC